TCTCCCGCCCTCCGTCCTTCCAGTCCGGCCCTCGGCCCAGGCGCGCCGCACCATGCCTGCCGTGGACAAGCTCCTGCTAGAGGAGGCGTTGCAGGACAGCCCCCAGGTACCTCTCGCCGCTGCGGTCCGCTCGTCTGCAGGGGCGACACCGAGGAGGCCGCCCGGGCAGCTGCGGGAGGAGCCTGGCATCCCCGGGTGGCCTTCCCCAGGCTTCTGCGGGGCTGAAGCGGGGGCGGCTGGGCCCTGAGTCCTGAGCTTAGGCAGAGCTGGGGAGTCCGGGCAGGTCTGAGTCTTCCAGACTCAGCAGGAACGGACGCTGCTGGATCTAAACTCAGACTCCGTCACTTGTTAGCTGAGTGTCCCGTGCAGATAACCTTTTGTACCTTAGTTTTGTCGTCTGTAAAACGGGGGTAACTGTACGTGCCTTATTGGGTTGTTAGGAGAATTAAATGAGCGAATGCCTGTAAAGTTGTCAGCGGACGTGTCTGGTATGGATAAGGCGTCAATCTTGTTATTACGACAACTACTACTCGTCACTACTGCTGCTACTGATGCGATCAAACCCGGGCCAGAATGGGAGGCAGAGAGCCTGGATCTTTTTCGCAGCGGTACCAGACCCCGTTTGGGCACTGTTTTCCCATTTATGAAGAGAAAATTATTATACCTGCCCCGTTTGTCTCTCAGGGGACCTTCATTAGCACACTGGAGATGAGAGTCAAGTCCTTTGAGTTTTGCAGATGAAAACTGGTGCGTAAATATAGCAAATGAGTGCAGAATGACATTAGTTCGTAATTCAGCACACCTTTCCCCAGGGATCTGTGTTCTCCTTTGTTTAACATTTCCCCAGCTTCATAGCTACTCTCCTGTTTCTGCAGCCCTGGGTGATTTAAATAAGTATCTTTATTCCCTGGTGTTTCAACTCTTGAAAAATTAGAATAAGGTTAACCTGTTTTCTTTTCACAGTTTGTTCTTTTTGAGTTCCTTCTCTTTTCCTCCTGAGAGAGGAGGATCATACCTTCCAGGATGATCCTTGGGTGGACTTACCTACATCCTCTCTGTGGCCTTGTGGTTCAGAATAAGTCAAAAGGGCTATGTGCAGTGGTATCTTGTACCTATTCCTTTTTGATCCACCAGTGTAGACAAGGAATTGTAAGCAAGCTGTGATTTGTAATTTTTTTTTTTTAGCTAAATTTGCATCTACTAGGCTGAATGACTTTTCAAGCCCTCTTTTAGATAGCTGTAGTCTTCTGGCTTTTTAATTGAACGGAAGCCCTTGGTAAAGGCATTTTGTCTATACTCATACGTATTGTGTGGGATCTCAACATAATGTGAACTTCTAAATGATCGCTCTGGACAAAGATCTCTACCTCGCAGTTGTGGGAACTGAGGTGCACAAAAATATATTGGTTTTCTAACCCACGTGGTGATGCCTCAGCCAGGTTAGAGAGGTTACACTAACAGATTGTCCATGCCGTCTTCAACAAATAGCATCCTGAATTTCCAGCTCTCACGTGAGTGAATATACACTATTTCTGACAGGCTTAAAGGTTTTGGCCAGCTGTGAGAAGAGAGCAAGTCAGGAGACCTGGGTTCCAGTTCCGGCTCTAACACTAAGTTATCATGTGATTTGGGCGGGTCTCTTGATCTCCACCCTTGGGTGGCTGAGTGTTCTCATCTGCTCAACATCTACGTAACCAGAGACATGGAACAGATCATCTTCAAGGTGCTTTATAACTTAAAATTCTGTCATATCTACATGGTTTGTAACTTCGAACTTGTAAGTGGCAGAAGAGGTTTAGGGGCACTGTCATTTCTGTTTAATATTCCTTTTATTTTGTTTATTTATTTTTGGAGACAGAGTCCCACTTTGTTGCCCAGATTAAAGTGCTCACAGCAACCTCAAACTCCTGGGTTCAAGGGATCCTCCTGCTTTAACTTCCCAAATATCTGGGACTATAGGCATCCTCCACAGCGCTCAGCTAATTTTTCTGTTTTTACTAGAGACAGGATCTTGCTTTTGCTTAGGAACTCCTGAGCTCAGGAGATCCTCCCACCTCACCCTCCCAGGGTGCTAGGAATATAGGTTTGAGCAATCAGGCCTGGCCTAATACTCCTTTTAATGGAGGGAATTTGTCATTGCTTTTGAGACTTGACTGTCACCCTATGGGGTTCTTGATGAAGCTGTTGTACAGAATGGAAATGAACTTTAAGAAGGTCTTTAATAATCATCAGAGCTTATTTATTGAGCACTCCTTTATATGTGACATGTGCCTAATGCAGCTTTACATAAGCCCAAGGAGATTCATGGTCTTAGTCATAGACTAGAAGGAATCAACTCCAACTCTTTTGTTTTGTGTGGAAAGCATAAGAACAGTAGCAAATGCCTCTCGTGGATTTTATGTGCTAGGCAGTGTTCTAACTCAATCCTCCCAGTAGTCTTTTGAAGTAGGTTCTCCATTAAAATTACAAAGGAGCACTGAAGTTAAATAACTTACCTAACGTTATTCACTGTAAAGTGACAAAGCTGGGGTTGGAGCCCAGGCAACCTGCCTGTACTAGGTATACCTCAAGTTAGCCAAACCACCTACTACCTGGCTTTCTTGTCATCAAGGGCATAAAATGCTTTACTCAAAGGGAAAGATCCTAGGAAACCGCCTATTGTTTGTTTCTTCTAGTTTTATGTAGGTAATTGTGAGAGTTGCTTCCGTAACTTGGTTGCCCAGGATTAATTAAATGAACACAAAACCTTTTGTATTTGAACTGGGTGACCCAAGAAGAGTTGAATAACAATTGACTGACCTCAGACACATCTATTCATTGCCTCCTTTTTAGTTTGCAGTGCTGTGCAGTGTGTTGTCAAAGTAGTCTACATCTGTATACATGCATTGTTTCTCCTATCCTCTGATGTACGAGAAGCCGAACATTTTAGAGATTAAGATATTTAGTTGCCTCCACTGCTGTTTAAAAGCCTCTGCTCTTTGCTAGCACTGCCAGCTTCTGGGAATGTGATGATAAATAGGAGTGCCTGCCCTCGACTGGTTCACAGTCTGTCCTGGAGACAGATAAGGAGGGCAGCAGTTCCAGTAAGGTGTGGATACTGCTGTGATAGGAACACAAATGCAGCTTTGAGCTCCTGCAATGTATGTATAGCTCTTCAGTGAATACTCACCCTGTAAGTTGTGCACTTCTGAGATAAGGTGAGGACAGCAGCACTGTTGCTTGCTTTTTCTGGTGTTTTGGTTTTTGTTTGTTTGTTTCTTTTGCAGTTGGCATACGTCAAAGAAAGAAAAGACTTAGTTGTGAAGTTATGCAGTGTGGCCCAGCTGGGCACAGCCCTCCAGCCAAACAAGGCCTTTCTTACTCAAGCAGGATACCTCAAACATAACCTGGGTGGCTTGATAAGTCTTGTTCCTTGTAATACATTTTTCCTTTCTGTAGACTTGGTTATTTCTGCCAAAGCATTTCTCTCCCTTCACTGAACTATGAAGATAAGAATGTTGTTTTTAACCTTAAAGCTTTTAAAATCAGTGCTATTAAAATTGGGCCATTATATGTAATCACATGATTTCCATGAGACTATCTAGAAGTATTTTATTAATTATCACCCAGCTATTTTAATGCAAAGGAATAATTGAAGCTGAGGCTATATATCCATGGGTGTTTGGTTTTGTTTTTGGCCAAGTATACTTTTAAGAGTGTAGGGTAGCCTGTAGTCCCAGCTACTTGGGAGGCTAAGGCAAGAGAATTGCTTAAGCCCAAGAGTTAGAGGTTGCTATGAGCTGTGATGCCTCGGCAGTCTTCCAAGGGCAACTTAGTGAGAATCTGTCTCAAAAAAAAAAAGAGCATCCGGTATCTTGCAAGTTACTCAATCCCTCTGAGCTTGTGTTTGGACCTATGTAAATTGGGATTAAATAGTTACTTGAGTTGTTAATGAAGAATAAATAACGCAGGGGAAGTGTCTCTGTACCTGTGTGTCATAGTATAGTAACTCCATAGATAAGATTGCTGTCATTACTTTATAAGTGATACACACCAGTGCCTTTCTGAATTTTTTGTGGAATTTTGGATAATTGGTGTCCCTCTGCCTGCTTTTTGGTCTTCCTTCCTTCAGGTCTCGGAATATTCCTGTTGTTCCAAACCCAAGTTTGAACAGATAGGGTGTGATGAATATTTTTTCCAGGGGTGATCATTGCCCACTTAAATTAGTAAGGGAAGACTGGAGTTTCCTGCCAGTTCTAATGGGTGTCACAGTCACATGTTCAGAGTATAAAGAAAAAAGACACTTAGGATATAGTTCTCTGGGCAGGTATCAAAGGTGATTACCTGACGTATGGATAACCAACAACAATCCAGTTCCAGCCGGCCTCTGTCCTGTATCCAGGCTGGTAGTGGGCTATGCATCAGAAGCATGCTGGCTGGTGTGAGGCCCCCCTGCTGGGGATCATTGCTGCCTGCCAGCCGGCCTTTACATTGCTTTCCAGGAGTGGGAGGTTGCGCAAGTTACTTAACCTTGGTGATTCTTAGTTTTATTTGAAAAACAGGGTTCATGGAACCATGGTTGCCCCCTTATAAAGCTGTTGGAAGGACACTAAACGAAGTAACAAGTGTTCAGTGCCCAGCACAGCATCTGGCACGTAGGTGGTTGGAGTAAGCAGTAGTTTCAGTTTTCTTTCTGACTTTTTTGTAGAGGATGTTTAGGCAAGCCCTCTCTTTTCATCCTACCTCTCTTCTTCCACTGAATTTATTCCTAAGAGTATTTTTTATTTATTTATTTTTTTTTGTAGAGACAAGAGTCTCACTTTATCACTCTTGGTAGAGTGCCGTGGCGTCACGCAGCTCACAGCAACCAAGTAGCTGAGACTACAGGCGCCCACCACAACACCCAGCTATTTTTTGGTTGCAATTTGGCCAGGGCCGGGTTTGAACCCGCCACCCCGGTATATGGGGCTGGCGCCCTACCCGCTGAGCCACAGGCACTGCCCTATTCCTAAGAGTATTAAAAGCAATAAACAGGATTTGGCTAAATGGACATCAGTACTATTTTGAGATAACTAAATAGCCACAGTCCAGTTACATCATTTCTCGTTCTCTTAACTCAGTGTTTTTTACCTACTGGTGACATCCATTAGTGGATTGTGAAGTCTAATGGGTTAAAACCATGATTTTTGTTTACGAATTGAATGGAATAGAAAAGAAAAGTAGAATAGAATAAATTGTTCAGGTCCTGTAAATTTCACACTGAATTTTAAAACCTTTGAAGAACTTTTCTAAGGTAAATTATACACTGTTTTAAGTCCTGTGATGTTTTGCTTGCAGAGAGCTTTTTTAAGGAAAATGTTAGTTTCCTTATTCATTGCACCGTGGTTCTTCTGGTACTGAGCAGAGAACATTGATCTTGGAGCGGTATTTTTAGTCTGGGAGATCTGGGCAAGGCAAGATAAGCACGCACTGCTCTGAAGCAGATCAGAGGTTGTGGACAAAGTCAGGGTAGAAGGAACATTTATTGAGAGTACCCTGGAGTTAGTTACTCTTCTCTTCCCTGAGAAAGGAGGAATTGAAATTCATTTTCAGGGAAATAATGAGCCTTAATGCTATGATAGCATTTTACTAAAGGCATATCTGTAACTTACTCTTCATTCTATGACTAATGGGTTGTTTTCTGAAATAGAGGTCCAGTTACTGCTATGTGGCATTTTAAATCTCCACTGTGTGGGGCACATTAATGCGAGTCCCTTGAGTAGACATATCTCTTATGTGATACCTTGATACTTGTTCATGTACCATCCGATATATAAGTACGTCTTTAGTGCTGAGTGTGTGCCACGTACTATGTGCAAACATACTTTTCAGCTAATGAGTTTGCTCAGCTGCTTTCAAGAGACCTGAGTGTTCGTTTTCTTAAAATAAGCCAGCTGGCATTCTTATTATTTGAGGTTTGTGCCCCGAGCTGCTGTTGGTGGGCCAGGAGATGTGAAAATTCCAGGCCACGAATTCGAAAATGGTTGAATAAAATATGATGAAAATCGTAGTATCTTAAGAGAACAGAATGGCGCGTTCCTGTAAGATATCCACAGTTATCAAAAACCAGATAGCTCCCTATTGCTGGGATGATTCCACTCCAGCATTGCCAGGTGACCACACCCTAGGTACACAGATGGGCCTGACCTTGTGTTTAGTTTTTGAACTTGAAAGGAGAGGCTGCTCTGTTGAACACTTTTTTTATTGGATGAGCTTTACTGGAGCTTAAGTAGGGGCTAAAGTCAGGACAGATAAAAGCCCTTTAGTCTTAATCTTTTAAAAATAGACTTCTTCTTTGGCCCTGAAACTCAAATTGTCCGTGTACTATATTCTAAAGGATTAGAAAGGGAGTTCTAAATTAAAGCTCCAGGAGTCAGCTGGCACTGGCATTATTAGTGAGAAAATAAAGCCAGAGAACCAACAGGCACCCTCTCTCCCCTTGTGTTTGTGAGTGTGCTTGCACGGGTGTGTTTTCTACCTCCTTAGAACTTTTCCACTTAAAAATAAATTGGCCTTTCTCTTTTTTTTTCCAGGCTCGCTCTTTACTTAGTGTATTTGAAGAAGATGCTGGCACCCTCACGGATTATACCAACCAGCTGCTCCAGGCCATGCAGCGCGTCTATGGAGCCCAGGTACGCCGGTGCTGGTCACCTGGAGAGAGCGGCAGAAGAGGGCCATAGAAAAACACCATTTAAAAGTTTGAAATAAAATCAGAATTGTTTTTATAACTTATGTTCTCTTCAAAAAACCAACAGTCTGTTTTCCTTGCTTAAGAAGAGAGGGTAATTTCCCTGTAAGTAGAACCAGCAGAGAGGGACCACATAATTGCTTTTCATTTTTTCAAAAATTCAATCCCAAAGGGAAGCATTTGAATCTCCTGTTCCTACTGTGAATGAGTGGGTACAGTATTTTGAGACATACTCTTTGTCTTTCTCATAAATAGGACAGTCTTAGATGTCACTGTGGGAGGGTAGAGATGTTTTTTTCAAGCGCTTTCTCTGAAAAGACCTGAGTCACGGTCCTGAAACTATTGGGTCGCTTCTTTGTTTTGAGGAACAAATATCTCTGGCTTGCAAAACTGTGGAAAACAAGTTGCTGAATAGCGAAAGTGAATCTTTTTACAGGGGCAAGAAGTGCCCCTGCATATAACTTTCTAAGAGAAAGTTTATAAGTGACTTAAAAATAAAATTCTTTATGTTACACATCAAAATGTGATGGCAACTGATCATTTCCCTTATTGATTCCTTGCTAACTTCAAACTGTATGTGTTAATGTTTCGTTTCCTCATTCATGATCTCTCAGGAAATACAGGTTGAGCATCCCAGCTCTGAAAATCCAAACTCCAAAATGCAACTTTTTGAGGGCTGACGTGACATTCAAAGGAATTACTCCTTGGAACATTTTGGCTCTCAGACTTGGGATCTTTAACTGACACACTGCAATTATTTCAATATTTGAAAACATTGGAAATCTGAAACGCTTCTGGTCCCAAGCATTTCAGATGAGGGATACTCAGCCGGTACCACCTTCAGTCTGAGTATATAGCTCTTCCTGATGATGAATAGTCGTTTATTATTATACAGCTCCTGATACTCATATTATTGCTTGTTTTATTGCTCATCCACCTGTGGGGAAAAAACTCAGTCCTTGTTATTAGGGAGCCTGTAATTGTGTTGCGAGATAGAACCATCCCACCAGAGGATGGTAGAAGTGCTGGGAGAAGAGGGTCGCCTAACCCAGAGGAGTTATGCTGGACACTCAAAAGGAAGGTGGTGGTGGTGGTTGAGCTTTATTGAATACTGAATAGCATCCAGGCAGTTTCAGGGGCTTTTTCATTGACTATCTCATTTACATTCCCAACAACTCTGTGAGGTGGGTGTTGTTACTATTAAACTCATTTTATAGGTCAGGAGACTTACGGATTTGAGTCATTTGTCCCAGTGCACTCAGTGAGGTCATGGTAGAGCAAATCAACCTGGAACCAAAGCTCAAACTTCTCACTCCTAAGCACGGGGATTGTGGCCTAGAGATACATACACACACGTCAAAGGCGTAACTCCTCAGCAAGGCACACTATGCTCTTGGTGAACTAAGTACTGGCTTGATCCTTCGGCCTTGTCTCTGGCTATTCCAGAAGGTGCCAGACCCTTTACTCGCCCCTCATCTTGGCTGTGCCATGCCTGCTGCCAGGAATCCCTCCATCCCCAGGCAAATGTCCTTTCTGGCCTTTAAGACCTCAAGTCTGAAAAAGCGTCTCGGACACCTTTCTTATATACACACATATATGTGTTGAGTTAATTCTGCTCAAATTTTGCGTTCAGTACATTTGATATGGCCTTTTCTGTAAATATTCTAAATTTAAGAAAACAAATTGTTTTTTACTGGGTTTATACCTGAACGTGCTTGCTATTCAGTACTTTATATTTGTCATTAAACAATTTATCTCTTCTTTAAGGCTTAAAAGTCACAAGACTTAGGAGGCTGTGTTTCTGTCTGTCACTTCAGGGAGTTTCTGTTCTGTCTTTCTCTGTCTGTCAGAATCATTTACTTGGAGATGTCCAAACACTTTCCTGCACATTTTTTCTTTTGAGGCAGCAAACTACATTTTGCCAAAATTAAGTGGGTCTTGCATTCCTAGAGGCTGTAACCCAGTTTTTAATTCGTAGCACATGATTATCACGTGGTTTCTCCCACTGGCCAGGAACCCTTCCTCTTGTCTGGCGTTTCCTGCAGCAGAAGCTGGTGAAAATGGCTGGTCAGTGCTGCCAGACTCAAAGACAGAGCCAGACAGTGGTCAGCTGCGCTCAGATTGCCTGGGTCAGGGGCAGGTGGTTTTTCAGGTTTATTTGAAAGCTTCGGTGTTTTGTTTGGTTTCTCTTTAATTGAAAACAGAAAACGTTTTGGATTCCTTTTTTGATGATTTTGTTTTGATACATGTATTTTTTAAACAGTAATACTTCCCACTGTCTCCATTCAAGTTTTTTCCTCAAAGTTACATGTTCTTGGTTTTACTTCCCATTGTTCCTAACATACTTTAGACATAGACATGAAGATTTCAAGCGAGAGGTTTGTAATTTCTTTTTTAAAAACATTCAGCAAGATGTAGTTTTCCATTATATTTTCAAAATGAGGCTTATGTTGCTGATAAATAATAAATATCCACTAACAATACTTTAATCACCCCTCAGAGGTGATTGAGGGGTTGTGAGCCGGGAGAGTTAATGTCTGTGACATGCTCAGATCAGTCCCTGGCACTGAGTGCTCTTTTAGTCTTAGAATAATGATAATAGTCACCATGGCACTGAACACTGGCACTGTTGTTTGGGTTAAATGGAAGTGTGGTTGCTGATCCTGACTTTGTTGCAGGAGCAGCTATGCTTGCTGTCCTCACTTCCTCACTGGATAGTTGATGTTTGCTCCTCCAGCCACCTCGTCGGGGCTGCTGAGTGCTGGCTCACACTCAGCCTTTCTCCACCCTGGGCCTCTGGGCAGCGCCACCCTGAAGCCACCTTCCTTGGTCTGTCGGGGACAGGCCCTCCTGGCTTCTTCCTGTCTCTCTGCGCACTGTACTTGTTTGCTGCCTGCCCCTTATGTCTTGGTGTTCTCCAAAATTCCACTGGAATCCTTCTTTGTTCAGTCTCTGCTCACTCCGGGCAAGATCGCTTTAGCCATAGTCTGGCCATTTTGAATCTGATTTTAGCCTTGTTTCTCTCTGAACTCCAGATCTTTGTTCAAACAAGGATAGCCTGTTGTCACCTGCAGGGCTAGCTCTGGCTCTTCCCTGGGCGGGTGTGTCCCTGTCTCCAGGAAGATGCCTTCCCTCCGCAGTTCCTCCTCCATCTACAACTGGATGAATCACATCAGACTGTCCCCTCCCGGTCTCAAGATAGCCACCAGGCAAAGGTGTAACTCCTCAGCAGGGCACGCTATGCTCTTGGCAAACTAAGTACCAGCCTTGTTTCTGGCTGTTCCAGAAGGTGCCAGACCCTTTACTCGCCCCTCAACGTGGCTATGCCATGCCTGCTACCAGGAATCCCTCCATCCCCATCAGAAATGTCCTTCCTGGCCTTTAAGACCTCAAGTCTGAAGAAGTGTCTCAGCCACCTTCTTTCTTGCTCTCCATTCTTGGCACAAGGGCCTTCACCTGTGGGACTAGATGCTTCAGACACTTGCTGGCTGGGGCACGTACGACTTGGCGAGTGGGGTTTTCTCGTCCCTTAGTGGGCTCTGGACTCCTAGAGAGCAGGTTGTGTTTGTCTCCAGTGCCCTGCGCTATCAGTGCTTGGTAGGTAGGTGGTGAATGAAAGGCTGAGTTTGGGGCCTAGAAGTTAGCACATTCCAACTGTCCACTCCACTGTCACTCCCAAATCTGTGCCCCACCTTAGGCCCTTAGCTGCAGGCACCGTCATCCATCTGGCCGTCCCCATCGGAAGCCTAGTTCCTTGACCCTTTCTTCCCCTTCACTCAGTACATTCCCTCAGGAACACTCTCTGCCACCCTCTGTGCTTCCTGGCTTGGGCTCAGACCCTTTCTTATGTCACTGACTTCTGCAGAGAGCCTTCTGGCCAGCTCCCTTCTCTGTCCTCTCTCCCACTTCAGCAGTTCCTGCCCATAGCAGCCACACCTGCGTTTTCCTCAACTCCTGTCTGATCTTGTCATCTCCCTGCCCAAGTTTCTCGGTGCTTCCCCACTGCCTCCATGACAAGCTGAGGCCCCGGGCAGGCATCACCTCCAGGCTTACCCTGTGTGGTGTCCAGCCCCTGTCTTGCTGCATCCTCCCAGGGTGGGGAGGGCCCCTGAACCAGTGTGACCTTGGCCCCTAGTGTGTGGTGAGCTGTGTCGTGTGGGACTTGCACGCTCTTGGCTTTAGGCAACATCTCTATTTGGTGTAGCTCTAAGCAGATACCCACACTGTGACTCTGACTCAGTGGGTTTCCTCTGTCCCAGCCTCTCCTTTCCTAGCCACTGTGGATGGTGCTGCCCACAGAGGCCTTTGGGTGTTTTCAGGTGACATGTGCAGTCAGTAAGCTTTCTGTGCCATAGTAAGATAAACATTCTTTGCCAAAAGCTCAGTTTTCCTTTCGGGCTTGCTAGCCACTGTCTTTCTGCCTTGGCACCAGCCTTGGGAAGTTCTGTTTAACATCAAAGGTACTATCAATAAGCCCTCCCTCAGGTTGGCTTTTGGAAGGATTCTTAAGAAGCAGCAAAATAGTGTAGATAGTAGCCAGAGAGCCTCCCAGAGTGTGGAAAAGAATGTTACTCATGAAACTCCATTTGGAGTTTAAATCTTAGTGCCTCTCCCTTCTTGGTCTATAGCTAGAAGACTGGTATTCATCATACCTAGAGGCCCTGCAAGGCCTGCCCACCTGAGTGTTAACTACCATGTTTCCCCCAAAATAAGACCTACCCAAAAAATAAGCCCTAGCAGGATTTCTATGCATTTGTTAAATATAAGCCCTACCCCGATAATAAGACCTAGTGATGGTCTGCATAGCCACACTGTGCATTTCAGCATGGAGAGGAAGACATCCCTGAAAATAAGCCCTAGTGTGTCTTCTTGAGAAAAAATACATAAGACAGTGTCTTATTTTTGGGGAAACACAGTAGATACAGTTAGACGAATGATGGGAATATTGTAGTGTCAGGAATGTGGGCTTTTGATGTAAGAGTCCAGGAGGCCTGCATTGAGTCTTTGCTTTGCCCCTTAACAGTTGTGTGACTTGAGAAAGTTGTTTATCCTTTCTGAACCTTAGTCTCTTCATTTGTAAAGTGGGGATAATAGTATCCACCTCACAGGTGCACAGGAAGGATTAAGTGTATTAGTATATGAAAAAAACTTGATAGCAATGTCAAGTTCTTGGAAAAGACTCAGTAAATGCTAGCAGCTGGCTGTCCTGATGTTATTACTAGTATTTACTGGTCATCTAGCTCCAGTTTGGCAAGTCCTGTGGAAAGATAATTGCACAGGCTTACCACACAGGGCACAGGGTGTGGGTTAATTAGCTGATGTTGGTAAAGCATTTCATAAAACTTGTGTGTACAATAGATTAAGCATGAATAAGATTAAACTTGGTCTAGTTTAAAAGACGTTCCATGTAGTGTGCTGTGTTTAGGGTAGGGGACAGGCCATGTTGTAAGAGTGGTAGGTTTCCAGTGAAATCATTCCCGGTAGGTAGAACAGAACCGTGCTTGGCCTTGCAGCCTGCAGTATACACGTATGAAACTATATAGTTTCCCTGCAGTATTTTTAGGAGATACCTGGTAGGGTCCAGCCATACAAAGTAGCTTTGGAAAGCAGCGGTTGTGTCTTGTGTGCTGTGCCCCTTCCTCACTGAACTATGATGGAGTTGCATGATGGCACACGAGTGCCCTCCCCTTTCTTTGGTACAGTCTGCTGCTGCCATTCCCTAGAAGTGTTTTCTGTTACATTCTAAGCACTTGCCTATAGGACCTAAGGAAGAGTCCAGGCAGCCTGTGTTCCTTGCTGTTTTGGAGGCCTAGAGGGTACTTACCATATTTGTTGGCCAGTCTCTGAAAAATGATGCAGAGATGTGGGGGTGTAACTTTCAGAGTGACCTAAAATGAGAAATTTTTAGCTAAAATCAAGAAAACTGGAAGAATGGAAAATATGCCTTGGGTCTGAAATATTGCAGCTTAATAGAGCCTCTGGAGGAGGGCGTAGCCTAAGGAATGGGTCTTTTGAGACAGTTCGTGTCTAAGGCAGGATCAGCAACTGAAAGACCCTGGGGCTGGCCTCTTAATTTTGAAAATAGCTTTTATTGGAATGAAACCACCCTTGTTTACACGCTGTATAGTATATGGCTTCTTTTGTGGTACAGTAGCAGAGTTGAAAAGCTGTGACCGACACCATATGGCCCACAAGCCAAACTCAGGCTCTTTGCAGAAAAGTGTGCCCACTCTAGTCTAAAACACGAGCCTCCTCGTCTTTTCTCTGTGGATTTTTGAATCAGATGCTCCAGATTCTATCCTAACCCTGCTACTAACTCCTGTAGGTCTGAAATATTGTAGCTTAATAGAGCCTCCAAAGGAGGGTATGGCAAAAGGAATGAGTCTGAGCTTGGACAGGTGGCTTAACCTCTCAGCGCCTCAGTTTCTTGTGTAAAATTGAGTTTATAATTAGAATCTGCCTAACAGGGTTATCAGAATTAGATGAGGTGACACAGAAGCATTTCGTGTAGTGGCTGGCATGGATTAAGTGCTCTATAAATGTTAGCTGCTGTGTTTATACTGACTCTGTGGGTCTGCAAGCCTATTCTAAGTGGTGCTGCCCTCAGACAGATGCCAAGGTAGTTGGACAGATCCATGTTTAACTTGCTGCTGCTAATTCACAGAGGAGGGGCAAGGGATTTCAGGAGCATCACCCCGCGAGTGGGATGAGGCCTGCGGCTGTATGCAGTGCTGTGTGCTATGGGGCAGCGGATAGTATTTCCTCGTCGACTGCTTCGTAAGATACAAACACAAACACAGGGAGCCCCGTCTTGCTCTTTGATTGCCCCATTTGTGATGTTTCCTTGTACAGTTAGTACTTCCTCCTTACACCATGATTCCAGGTACTATTTAAAACTGGGAAATTTGATGAATCCTCTAACATTTTTGTTCATTCATTAAACATTTATTGAGTGCCTGCTGTTTGCTAAGAACTGTTGAATGTTCCTGCCTAACAAAGGACAGAGCTTGTGGATTTATTTGTTTGCCACCTTCTTGGCTATGTGGCTGGAAGTCCTGATTAATTTTGAAAGGGGTAGCCCACCAGTGGCATGGCAAAGCTGGTAACTTCCATTGTGTTTGCCTGATTTTATTCTAGAGAAACAGCGCACACCTCGCTTCATGGTCTGTTGATGCCTGTTCCTAAGGGTACATGGGGGAAGTCAGGGACTAGATTGGCCAGTTATCCACAAGGAGGACCAGGAACAGGTGGGATTTGGCTCTTCTGGGTCCTGCAAAGTAGGGCCAGGAAAAACCAATGAGCTCCTACAGAGCTCAGTACTTACCCTTCAAGGAACAGCAGATCCTAGGTGGAGGCCATGGCCAGGAAGGTAGGCCAGTGCCCTCCCCTTATCCACACCAGGTCAGATCCAGCGGCTCTGCCGCTCTTAGGAATAAGCCCTGAATCTGAAGAGAGGCTTTAACTGAGTGGTGGTGGGAGGACAGCAGCAGAAAACCACTGTGCAGCCAGAGGTTCATTAGAGGACTGAACAGGAGAGGAAAGCTACAGCACAGAACGGCCTCCTGGGCATCAAGGCCTTTGAAGAGCAGTGATTTCCTTGGGTCTTAGGGACACTGGGTTTGGTCGTGTTTCTGTTTCCATATCTAGGTCCAGTGGAGTCTGGCCCTGTCCCAGGGCTGCTTCAGTTCCCGTGGCACTTGCAGAGTGTCTCGTCCTGGGCTCTGGGGCCGTTGCGCCTTCTCCCTGCATTGTCCCCACTTGTCTCCCCTCCACACCTGCTCCCCTTCAGAGCTCTTTACCCAGCTGTGCGCTTCTTCCCTGTGTTCCTTCCTTCTGGAAAGTTCGGCCCCATGGCTAACTGCTAGTTTTTCTTCAGGGGTCTGCTTAAAACACCTCTTCCTTAGAGACTGTCTGGTCCTTCTGTCAGAGCCTCCCAGCACACCCAATATTTAGCCTTTGTAGTTCTTGTCATGCTCGAAACTATTTTTTTGATGTCTGCTTCCCTGAAAAGCCCCAGAAGGACAGGGACCGTGTCTTTGCTGAATATTTGGCACATGATAACTGCTCACCTGACCAGAACGAGCAGGGACTTGCAGAGGGTTAACAGTATCAGCCTTAAGCTTTTGATTTGGTTTGGTCTTGTTTTCCACGTGTCTCAGTAAAGTATCTTATTTTTTCACCAGTTTGCACACACTACTTTGTAAGCAGTTCTCTGAGGGGCGTTTTTCAATGACTGTGTATGCAGTGGACAAGGCTCATTTGGTTTTCTCTTCTCTCTGCAGAATGAGATGTGCCTGGCCACTCAACAGCTTTCTAAGCAGCTGCTGGCATATGAAAAACAGGTAACTTGGTGTTCCTGTGGCATATGATGCCATGTGCAGGGCTCTCCTAAGTGTTCTCCTAAAGCAGTGGTTCTCAACCTTCCTGATGCTGTGGCCCTTTAATACAGTTCCCGTGGGTTGCAGTCCACAGGTTGAGAACCGCTGTCTTAAAGGAATTCTCCAAAGGCAATGTGCACAGACTTTCAGGGTGTTTTTCGTAGTCCCTCCCCCCACCCCTTCCACTGATGAATTCTAATGGGAGATTATCCCAAAGTCATTATGAAGTATTTCAATTAGCCACCAAACTCCCCTTGAGAGTTTATAGTCTTGGAAGGAAGACAAGTGAATCAACACTAACAATTCTAGGAAATAAGCATTCAAGGGGATCGTTATGTTTGAAGGAAAGGTGACCCATGAAGGAATGGCCAGGCTGGGGCAGTTGATATTTCTGACAGGGGGTGCTCTTGGAAGAATAAAGGAGGTCTAGGGGAGGGTAGTGTTTGTGGATTAAGCTGTAGTGCCAGGTTCCTTAGCATTCAACTAACACCTGGCTCTTTTATTTTTTGGTCTTAGAATTTTGCCCTTGGCAAAGGGGATGAAGAAGTAATTTCGACACTGCATTATTTTTCCAAAGTAGTGGATGAGGTAAGACCACACCGTGGGGGATTTGTATTCGATTCTTTTGTGAACTTCCTTTCATCTTTTGTTGGCCTACTTTCCATTTTTAAATATCCACTTAAATATCCGAGAAGATGCCTCAAGTTGTGATCTTCCAAGGTTTGTTTCATGAGAGAGGCTGTTTACTATTAGGTCTGTTTCTGGTTTGAGGGGGAAGGATTTCTAAGATTTTATTATAAGGAGAGTGTACTAGTTTTCCCTCTGCCATAACAAATTATCACAATAAGGTGGCTTCAAACAACAGAAATTTATTCTGCTCCCACTCTGGAGGCCAAGAGTCTGGAATCCAGGTGTTGGCAGGGCCACACTCTCTCCAGAGGATCGAGGAGAGAATCCGTCCTTCCTTTTTTCAGCATTTGGTGGCTCCAGGTGTCCGTGGCTTGTGGCAGCATAACTGGAGTTGCTGACTCTAACTTTAGACACCACCCATGTGTGTCGTCTTCTGTGTCTTTCCTTCCTATAAAGACACTTGTCATTGGATAATCCAAGATGATCTCATTTCATGATCCTGCATTACGTCTTCAGAGACCTTTTCTCTGAATGTTTTTGGTGGACATGTGTTGGGGGAGGGGCACGATTCAGCCCCCCACCAAGGGCTTCATACAGCTTTCCTTGCAGCCATGTTGTGTGATACATTTGGAATATTTGTAAAAAAAAAAAAAAACTGGTGTTATTTTTAAAAGTGTGGAAAATATAACAGTCAAATACTAGTGCTAGACAGAACTCTGCACGATTAGGTACGTATAAGCAACGTGTAAGCAGGTCTATCTTTTAGGGAGTTTGCAGTACTTATAATGGAAAATCTTGATAAAGAGTAAACAAAAAAGAGCATATAGCTGCCACTTAACTGGCTAATTACTGATCTGCATTAGATACTATCTTTAGTTTACAAAGTGAGAAACTGACATTCATAGGAAACTGTAACTGGTTTCAGTCTCATTCATTCAACAGCTGTTATTTATTCAGAAGCAGTTATTGACCCCCTAACTAGCAGCAATCTTAGGCACTGGCGATATAAGAGTGAACAGGTCAGCCCGTTCTTGTTGAGCTGTTTCCTCTACCCCACTTAGTAGTAGGAAAAAGACAAACTCTTTTTTCCTACTGTTCTTTGAACTCTCGACAAACTTTTTTTTTGAGATAGAGTCTCACTATGTCACCCTGGGTAGAGTGCTGTGATATCACAGCTCACAGCAACCTCAAACTCTTGGGCTTAAGTGATTCTCTTGCCTTAGCCTCTCAAATAGCTGGGACTATAGGTGCCCGCCACAACACCCAGCTATTTTTGTTGTTGTTGTCATTGTTGTTAAGCAGGCCCAGGCCAGGTTCAAACCCGCCAGCCCCAGTGTATATGACTGGCACCCTCGTCACTGAGCTATGGGTGCTGAGCCCTCAACACACTTCTGTTAGCAGAGTGCAGGTTTCCCCACATCAAATAATTCTCTGATACCAGCTGAGTGTTCTACAGTTCAGTTTGACACTCACCAGAGTTAACACAGACCTCACAAGTTAAGGGCTTAGTCCCACAGGACCGTGCCAACTTCAGATGCCAATTCCATGTCCTAGATTGCCATCTGTACTTCCATATGGCTATAATTTGGGCTCCCACTCATTGGGTTTGATAATTTGCTACGGTGGCTCACAGAATTCAGGAAAACTCTTACATTTACTGCTTTATTGTATATTAAAGGATAAGAGATACAGGTGAACAGCCAGATGGAGGGATACTTAGGGCCAGGTATGGAGGAAGGGAGGTGGAGTTTTAATGCTCTCTCTGGGTGTGTCACCTTCCTGGCACTGCCTGGAAGCTCTCCAAACCCTGTAGTCAGAGATTTTTATGGAGGCCTTATATAGGCATGATCAATCTCTAGATTCTCCCCATTTCCTGGAAGGGGTGGTGGGACTGAAGTTTCTAATCATGGCTTGGTCTTTTGGATGATCAGCCCCCATCCTGAAGCCCACCAAGAGTCACTTCATTAGAGCAAAAGACATTTCCGTCACCCAGGATATTCCAAGGGATTAGAAGCTCTGTGTCAGGAGCAAGTGTCAAAGACTAAGTGTCAGCATAAGAGGTTTTCCTGGCACCCTTGTCACTTAAGAAATTACAAGAGTTTTAGGGACTCTATGCCTGGAACCAGGGACAGAGCCCAAATCTGTATTTTTTATATCACAATTTCATACCCACTATGATGGCTGTTTCTGAAATATGTGTTGAGGGCCAGGTGTTGTGGCTCACATCTGTAATCCTAGCACTCTGGGAGGCCAAGGTAGGTGGATTACTTGAGCTCAGGAGTTTGAGACCAGCCTGCACAAGAGCAAGACCCCTTCTATACTAAAAGTAGAAAAACTAGCCAGGTGTGGTAGTAGGTGCCTATAGTCCCAGCTACTTGGAAGGCTGAGGCAAGAGGATCTCTTGAGTCTAAGAGTTTGAGGTTGTTGTGAGCTATGAAATCATAGCACTCTACCCAGAGGACGGACTGAGACTCTTGTCTCAAAAATAAATAAAATAAAACATGCATTGAAATGAATGGAAGATAGATAAAAAATGTAATTATAGTAGGAAGATGGTGTGGAGAATTTTTCTTAATGGTAGATAAATAACCCATGAGGAGAAGCCACTAAAATCATGTGTTGTCCTGAGTTGAAGAAAATTGCCAAGGAAGTGTGGTTAGCTGTCAAAACCCTAGAACCAAGATTTCCAGTTTAAAATATTTACTCACAACCATGTTTTCATGGGCAGGAATAATGATTCTCTCAGTGGGGAGTGAATCATTCCCAGAGGATGGAGGAGCAGTTTTACAGGTGGTATCATGGCTTCCTGGAAGGCAGCAGTGTAGGGAGTTCTCAGACAAGCCTTGTGATGTGGACACTCAGTGAGTGAAAGCAGGTAGCTCAGGGAGGCCTCCAGGTCTGGGAGGAGGACAGTAGCTTTTGAGCTTGTTTTCTGTACCTGGGCCTAAACCAGGTTGAAACATTTTTAAGACAAGTTCTTTCAATCAGAAATAGAAGAAAAACTCAAGTGAAAGTGGGGATTTTTGTGACTTTAATAGATGCCATGGAATGAGATTGTCCACATTGTAAGTCATATAGAGATTTCCATGTGAGGTGATTTCCCCAAAAGCAAAGTTTTTGTATCATGTCTTTTGAGTACACCTGAGACAGAAGGTCACTGTCATTACAGGTCCCATTGATTGAATGCCGAGTATCTTTGTGTCAGGCACTGATGGCATTATCCCTGTTTTCTGTCTGGCGACACTAAAGTACGAGGTGGTCCCTGCTCTTTCCACCCTCCTCAGTGAAGGTGCTTAGAAGAGATCATCCTATAGATCTCAAAAGCCACAAGGCAAAAAGTTAATGACACAAACCACTTGATTCTTTGGAAGAAAACGAGTAGCCAGGAACCTTGCCATCCCTGAAGTGCGTACCCAGTGGAAAGCCACTTGATCTCTCTGAGCTTTGGATTCTTCATCTTCAGTGGCAAGGGCGGGAAGGCTCAATTGAACTGTTACATAGATTAAATTGAACAATATGTGTCAAAGCATTATACACAGAACCAAGCACATAGTAGGTACACTTGCCAACATTCATTCATTTAACCGTTGATGAAAAACAGTACGTTTCTTACTAAGTTAATATAGAAAAATAGTCAACACAGTCTACCCATGCGTTTACTGGCACGGCTGTCTTCACGTGTCCCCCAGAGTAAAGTGGCTGCGCTTTAAGGACAACATTAAGAGCTTGTCCTAACACTCCCATGCCTGGCAAATGATTGACCTCAGGCAAGTTGTTAAGCTGGTCACATCGGCCTCTGCAGCCACAGCCCTGAAGGGCCAGACCTGTGGGGAGGTGTGTGTGCAGAAGAGAGGTGCATATGCATGACTGCTGTTTTGTTTTGTTTGTTTGTTTGTTTTTTGGCTGGGGCTGGGTTTGAACCCGCCACCTTCGGCATATGGGGCCAGCGCCCTACTCCTTTGAGCCACAGGCGCTGCCCCAATGCATGACTGCTATTAACTAACAGCTGAAGGAAACTTTGCCACATGTGGACGCCAAAGATGATTGCTGGGTGATTTCCCCTTAGTCGCCCAGCCAGAATCCCAGAATATCTGCCGTCTGTGGCCCAGGGGGCGAATCCCTTCCACGTATTTGTTCCTTGCTGATTAGACTCCCAAACATGTGAAAGTTTGGCAGATTCATGAATGTGAAGCGTGAACTCTGTATCCCAGGCTGTGTTGTGGAAATATGAATCCTAGATCCTGGTGGCCTGACATTAAGATCCGAGCCACTATGTTTATTTCTTCTCTGGACTTGGAGAGTGACCCGCCTGTCTGTAAAATGGGCATAAATAATACCTCACAAAGCGAGTGTACAGCACTCAGAGCTGGCACATAGAGAGTGTTTAAGAGCAATCTGTGGGTGGTGACGATTTTGATCTTTCCTAGACCATTTACCAAGACAAATTTGAGTAAGTTCTTAAGGTAGCAGGGAAGAAAGAATCAGTTCAAATCCATCTGGTGAAGAAGGTCACATTTCAGTACAATCATCTTGTTTTTATTAATACAGAGGTTCTTTTCTAAAGAGCAGAGCCTGAAGCCTGGTGGAGCTTTTTATGTAGGGAAGAATGTTCTTTCTCCTGAGTGACTCCCAGGCCCCCAGCCTGCTGTGGTTTTGGGGCTGGTAGGTTCCAGCAGACCTGTATTTCAGGTGTGACTTGAGCCTCTGTGAGAGCAGACAGTGGCCTGGCAAGGCACTATGCCCTGGCAAGCACCTGCAGGCACATCCAGGCATTTTGATTCTCCTGCAGGGTGTGGCCCAGAGTGGGGTCACAGAGCCAGAGTCCACACAGGAAACAAAGAGTAACTGTGGGCCCAGAGCCTCCTTTAGCAAGCTTCACTGGTACCCATGGTCGGTTAGATCCTTATATTTTGCCTTTCATACCTGTAGGCCTGTATCATTGGCTGCTTTATAAAGGGTTTTACTTGCTAAGGAAGCTGTGTAACCACACAGAAGGGTTCAGTGTGATGTCTTGGTGAAACGAGGCTGTGTCGGTAATAATGTGTGTAATGTTCCTCAGTAGAGTTCTCTGTCTTTCAGCTTAACGCCCTCCACACAGAGCTGACTAAGCAGCTGGCAGATACAATGGTTCTACCTATTATACAGTTTCGAGAAAAAGATCTCACAGGTAAAGTAACTGAGTTCAGTGCTGGTTACCTTCAAAATAATGTTTCATTCACTCACTTCTTCCTGCGTTAATTTCTGTACATGAGTAATTCCTTTCATTTTCAGCAGTTAAATTCAGCAAACTTTTATTGATTCCCCACTATTATATGTGTTCCTGGCTCACCTGAAGAAGGTCAAAGGCTACTAAAAAGACAGATGTAGAAACAGATGATTGTAATGTGCGAGGAGGGCAGCAGGACAGAGAGGCCGCACACAGAGACAGGATTACCTTGTTGGGGGTTAGGGTGTCCAGGAAGGCTTCTTGGAGAAAGTGATCTCTGAGCTGGGATTTGAGAGATGAGCAGATGTTTACCAAATAGACGGTGATATTCCAGGTTAGGGAACATTTGTAAAGGCATGCTGTTCTTGGGGAAATGTTTTGGAATGTAAAGGGGGTGGGGGTGCATTGGAGAGGGTAAGATGGAATGGAGACCGTGTTTTCTCCCTGCAGGGCTCCGGAAGTACAGCTAGGAGGCCGACTGGGTCCCTGTTCTCAAGGAACTCACAGTGAATGAGGGGGGGAACCTGACTGGTACAGACAACCACTGGGCCTTTTGAACTAATTTTGCTTCTTAAACTAAAATACGACTTCAGAATAATTTTATATTTCTTAGAAATCAAGGTAGTCACAAAATGAATATTAAAAAGAATGAATAATCTTGAAACAATGTAGTTGATGTTAGAAAAAGGAATTCAAAGTTTCTAGACCTATTGTTCCTATTTCATTAAAAATGTTTATTACTTAGAGATTCAAGAATTATACAGAGGGTGCCAAAAACGCATACACATTTTAAGAGAAAAAGCTCTACTCTTCATGCCTGTGTCATGGTGATGCTTGCATTCATTTGATTACTACCATCTTTTGAGTGAATGTCAAATTGCTACCATAATTTGATTGACCTTCAAAGAGTAATACATAGATAACAAAATAATTGTAGTAAATCTAAAGGCAAATCTTAAAGGTGAAGATTTTTTCCTCTTGCTTTGAGGTCCCCTTTGATCTTGTCACCTGAGGCTAAGGGACAGGGCAGAGTAGGCATAAATTCTATGCAAAATTAGTTTGTCAGCACTAAAATTTGGTCAATAGGACCGGGCGCTATGGCTCACACCTATAATCCTCCTATAGCACTCTGGGAGGCCAAGGTGGTGGATTGCTGGAGCTCAGGAGTTTGACACCAGCCTGATCAAGAGCAGGACCCTGTCTCTACTAAAAATGGAAAAACTAGCCAGGTGTTGTGGTACACACCTGTAGTCCCAGCTACTTGGGAGGCTGAGGCAAGAGAATCACTTGAGCCCAAGAGTTTGAAGTTGCTATGAGGTATGATGACAGGGCACTCAATTCAAGGTGACAGAGTAAGACGCTGTCTCAAAAAAACCACTTAGGCTCGGTGCCTGTAGCTCAGTGGCTAGGGCGCCAGCCACATACACCAGAGCTGGCAGGTTTGAATCCTGCCAAACAATAATGACAACTATAACCAAGAAATAGTCAGACATTGTGGCGGGCGCCTATAGCCCTAGCTACTTGGGAGGCTGAGGCAAGAGAATTGCTTGAGCCTAAAGAGTTTGAGGTTGCTGTGAGCTGTGATGCCATGGCACTCGATCGAGGGTGATAAAATGAAATTTTGTTTCAAAAAAAAAAGAAAAGAGATAATAAGGAAGTGATTTACAACTCCACACTAAAAGGAAGTGGGGAACACACTACAACATAGGAGAGAAAGAAAAATCGGAAGGAGGAAGGGCAGAAGAAGGCAGTCTGTTGTCAGAAGGAGTGAGAATAACGTGAGGAGAAATTTAAAAGCTGGAGGCAGTTTGGAAGCAGATTGAAACCAGCATAGAAGACAGGAAATGCTTTGCTTTTTCGACAAAGTGGAAAAGGAAGCTTTAGGATTGCTTTTAGGTATCAATCTTTTGTGTTTTTTAAGTTTTTAACCTTGGATGAGCATTGCTCAGTGACCACTGACCTTTGTTTGGTCTTTTGGTTTTGGACTCTGTTGAGCCGACTCTGTGCTCCATGGGTGACGAGCACCGTGTGGGTGACGGTTTTAGGCATTGACTTGTTACAAGTTACTGTGCTAGGTTGTGTCATGTCTCATTATTACAAATACCCTGTATTCCTTGTCCTTGAGCCTAAAAAGTCAGCTGTTAAAATGGCAACACAGGAAACTTCTAGATTCTGGGTATAGTCCTGACTACATTCTGAGGAAAGATACCTTAAGACGTTACTTTGGGGTTGAAGAATCAGAACTTAAGTTTATACTCCAGGTCACTACCTGGCCACCATGCTGCCTGGCCCAGGTCCGCAGAGTGCCCCTTCCTTCACAGACCCCAAGCACTACCCAGAGAGGGCAGTCAGGGTCGCTGGGTGAGGTCGTGTGGATGAAGCCAGGCACTCTCTGAGACCAGGGTTCCCAGCATCCAGGCCGGGCCCGTGAGAGCAGAGCACTTGCAGGGGCACAGACCAAGCTCTCCCCTTCGCACTTTAGCTGTTTCTTGGGAAAGCACAGAGCTCTGGGTTGGCATGTTTCATTTTTCTTCACTGTAACAGGTTCCCTTTTCTCCTTTTCAGAAGTAAGCACTTTAAAGGACCTTTTTGGACTGGCCAGCAATGGTAAGCATCTTTTTCTCCATTCTTGGGCCTGAGAGTAGTGACATGTGTGGGCCCAGCGTCTGTGTGGGAGGGGACACTGATTGACTGTTCTTGCCTTTTTTGACCCTTCTGGGTGCTCAAATGTCTCTCTATTTTTAGAGCATGACCTCTCAATGGCAAAGTATAGCCGGCTTCCTAAAAAAAAGGAGAATGAGAAGGTAAGAATACATACGTTACATGTTAATTTTCCTTTCGTTTACTTAAGCTCTTTTTGCTTCTTCTTACTGTGAATTTGTGGCACTTGAGGGTGTCTTGAGTTTTTTTGCTACATGTGGACTTGAAACTTTATTTCAAATCTCGTAAGGAGACCTTCCTTTCTCTATAGCTTTTCAAACTGGCTTATTAAATAGTGACTTGGAGCCATTGTAAGATTATGATCACGCTGTGATTTTAACTTCACCTTGGTTCCTTGTCTAAGAAGGATCACTGTGAGATGATCATCATCTTGAATTCCTCACCCCAGGTGTTGACATTTTAACCCATGCTTTTTTTTTTTTTTTAGGTTTTTCATTACTATAGATAATACTGAATATCTTCATACATATAACTTTGTACTTCTGTTACATGATTTTCTTGGGCTAAATTATTTCATTGGAATACAAGCTATGACTGAGCCAAAATGTTCGCGGCTTTCAAAGCATACTGCCATATTGTTTTCCCAAAGGATCGTGGGGCTTTGTCCTACTACCAGGAAAGCGTTGACGTCACTTCAGTGTAGCCTTATGGGGTGGTGCCTGTGGCTCAAAGAGTAAGGCGCCAGCCCCATGTACCAGGGGTGGAAGGTTCAAGCCCAGCCCCAGCTAAAACTGCAGTGTAGCCTTATGAGCAAGAGATGCTGAGTTTGGATTTTTTTTTTTTTGCAATTTGTGGTCTGGGCTGGGTTTGAACCCACCACCTCCGGCATATAGGACCGGCGCCCTACCCATTTGAGCCACAGGCACCACCCTGGATTTTTTTAAGAAATTGAAGTGGAACCTTATCTGTGTTTTATCACATATGTCACAGAACCCAGCATGTTTTGAAGTTGCGTGCTCTTTCACAGTTGTCGTGTGTAGTAGACAACTTGAAGTTCTCCTTTCACCCTTTGCCCAGGTGAAGACTGAAGTGGGAAAAGAGGTGGCTGCTGCCCGGCGGAAACAGCACCTCTCGGCCCTGCAGTACTACTGTGCCCTCAACACGCTGCAGTACAGAAAGCGGGCGGCCATGATGGAGCCCATGGTAGGCTTTGCCCATGGACAGGTAGGCGAGCCCCTTACCTGAGGGATTAAACCTAAGCCGGTTGTGGCATTCAGCTGAGATGGCATTTGGGAGAAACTGAAGCATCATAGAAGGAAACACAAATGTAGCCTCTCTCCAGAAACTTGCTGGAATTTAGCACTTAGCCTCCAGCTGGGTTGGGTCATCTTTTGTTGGGTGTATGTTAGCCCGTAGTTAAGTGGCACAGTCCAGGAATGATGGCCTGGGCTCCAGGCTCCTCTTGGGGAGGAGACTGGCCCCCCCCCCTTTTTTTAAATTTTGAGACGGTGTCTTAAGCTGTTGCCCTGGGTAGAGTACTGTGGTGTCATAGCTCATGGCAACCTCCAACTCAGGCTCAAGCGGTCGGTCCTCTTGCCTCAGTTTTTCTATTTTTATTAGAGACATGGGATCTCAATTTTGCTCAGGCTGGTCTTGAACTTTTAAGCTCAACCAATCAGCCCACCTTGGCCTCCCAGAGTGCTAGGATTACAGGGTGAGTCACTGCAGCTGGCCTTTGTGGCCCTTTTGTTCTCATCCAAATATTTGAAAGCGAAGCATGGCCAGTGTTCCTAGAAAAGGCTTCCTGCTCAGGTTGGGATAGTGAGCTGCTGCTGCTTTTTCATTTTTTTTTTTTTTTTTGAGGCAGAGTCTCACCCTTGGTAGAGTACCACAGCATCATAACTCACAGCAACCTCAAACTCTTGGGCTCGAGTGATCCTCCGGCCTCAGCCTCCTGAGCAGCCAGGACTATAGGCACTGGCAACAACGCCCAGCTAGTTTTTCTATTTTTAGTAGAGACAGGGTCTCTCACTCTTGGTCAGGCTGGTCTTAAACTCCTGAGCTCAAGCTATCCACCTGCCTTGGCCTCCTAGAGTGCCAGGATTATAGGAGTGAGCCCCCATGCCCAGCTCAAGACCGTGAGCTTCTAACCCAGGACTCTGCAGTTCCTTTTCTTCTCAGTGGGTTATTTCTAAATGGTTCATCTCCCAGGTTATTGCAAACACCTTAGTGTCTGAGCCCAGGAAATGTAGTTCTTTATGAAGTCTTCTGTATTTATTTGGTTTGTCCCTGTCATTTAATGGTTTCCTGAATATTTGTCTTCAGGGAGCCTCTGGTTTAAAGATGGGGAGTTGACTGTTATGGCACCAGTGTGGAGGGGACAAAAGTGAGTGTGAACGTCAGGCTTGAGGCACTCCCCGCATCTTCCACCTCTGCCCTGTGTTAGCCGCACTTGGGTTCACTCTGGGGCCTCCCTGTGGTACATGAGAAATGCACCTGGGAATCTTCTCTCCCGTCACATTGTAGGAACAGAAGGGGATGTGAGGAAGCAGTGGTTAACAACAAAAAGCCAACAACTTGTAAAGTACTTCATATATGAGTATTAGTTATAATACGTTTTAAAGTACATATTTTTTCCTCAAAATCTACAATGCCAGTTCTGTTCAGGGAAAAGGGGAATAAGAGAATCTTTTAAATATCCAAGCTCTGCTGTCTTCTTAAGATGGTTTTGTTACATTGTTGAATGGTGAGTTGGCTAAAGTCAGCCTGTGCCTTCAGAGGTGATATTGAAATAAAACAATAGAAGCTTTCCATGTCATCTGGGTAAAGTTGAATAAAATAAAAAATTAACACTGCCCAGCTGTGCGCTTCAGTCCTCAGCAAGTCTTGGGACCCGTCCAGCTTCCTCATGGGCCCTTGTGCACACGGATATATATTCACACTAATCACCCTCTCTCTCTTTGGTCAGGGGTTAAACTCTGGCTTGGCGGAGGTCCTAGCTTCGTTACGGAATGCCAGTACTCTGTTCTCTTTTGCTAATATCACCTGGGTGTGCCCTCTTGAGTCAACACCCTTGCTTCTGGGACAGTGATCCTTGCTCAGTGAGAGGCCAGGGTCAGCAAGGGCTGAGGGGCTGATGTCTCAGGAGGAGGGCGAGCTCTGGGCTTGATGGGCAGTGCTGTGGTAGCTGGTTGGTTGGAAAAGGATCCTCATAAGGCCTATGGGACAGGTTTGATAACAGCTGGTTCCTCTCCTTTTCATGGCCAAGGACTATGCTACTCGTCCCAGCCTAGATTTCTGAGTGAGTGCAGCTGGCCCCAGAGGGAGGAGAGGAGCTGTGGGTACAGCCCAGGGCATGGGAACAAAGCAGAGTGCATGTCTTTGTTGGGTGGCAGGAGTATCTTTCTTTTTTTTTTTGAGACAGAGTCTCATTATGTCGCCATTGGTAGAGTGCCATAGAGTCGCAGCTCACAGTAGCCTCAAACTCTTTGGCTCAAGCCATCCTCTTGCCTTAGCCTCCCGAGTAACTGGGACTACAGGCCGCTGGCACAACACCTGGCTATTTATTTTTGTTGTTGCAGTTGTCGTCGTTTAGCTGGCCTGGGCTGGGTTCAACCCCGCCAGACTGGGTGCTACAGGCACCAAGCTGAGGAGTATCATTTTTGAGGACTGACAATGGCACGTTTCATTTTTCATGTGAAAAGTGTCCAGACTTTAAGACCAAGTCGTCCCTTACTCTGCAGATTCATAAACATGCTGATGAAAGCTATAGTTCCTGCTTTCACACATGTCTGTTGACCAATACTGTGACTATTGTGGGTGGCTCACCAGCAGCTGCCCTCCTCCTGCCATGTCTGGCCTTGGCAATCACTGTTTATTGAGTATCAGCCTCTGGGAGCTGGTGATTAAGTGACCACTGTGCTTCCTGCTATTCCTGAAGGTACCTGTGGTGGAGACGCACCCAGGCTTTCAGCGCCCCACCTCTGCGAGGGTGGGTGTCTGCCTTCTCTGGCCCTGATTTAATTAAATCATGATTCAGCCCTCATGCCTGCATTCTCAGGTTCTGTGTTCTGTGTGCAGGTTTTTGAAAACATGACAGTGAACTCTAAAGCAATATTGAGGGTGAGGCCACGCTGTGGCTGTGGAAGCCAGTGTCATCCCATCTGTTCATTTGCTCATCTGAGTTTTATAGGGATTATGTCAGCCATGGCCCTTAGGAGCTCACAGAATAGCAGAGAAGTTAAGGCATGGATGTAGAATATGAATTCCAGAGGAATTCCGGGAGGGGAAGGAGAGGAGTCACCATGATGTTGTGCTGTAGAAACACAGTCTACTCATTTCATAGATTAATGGTTAATATTCATTTTGATATTAACATTTCAGGGGTTTATAATGGTATTTGCTGTGCTGATCTCTGTATGATTCCAAGGTCGTAGGCCAGAACCTCCCCCTGCATATGTGACCTTGCCTTAGGCTAATCCCAGTCATCTGTTTTTGTCCTATGGTAACTAAGGACGTTGGTGTACATGCTTTCCCAGGGTGTCTGGGGAACAGGTGAGGCTGTCAGTAGTGCTGATGGCATCTACGAGGCTTCTCAGTGTAAAGGGTGGATCTGGGTGCCCACCACCCTGGCAGCGTGGGCTTCAGATCAAACAGATGAGCTAGGGCCATGCTCGAGAGAATCCCCATGTCCACACTGAGTATTTTCTCTTTTTTCATAACCTAGGCTTGCCACTGTTAACCCCTTAACCATTAGGCTTGTAAAGTGGAGCAGTCCATATCAAATATCTAGGTTTGGGAAAGCCATAGCCTTAAGAAGGATGGAAACTTGAACTATTCAGGGTGGGATGGCTGTAAGTGTGCCTAACACACAGAAACCCCCTCCTTCCTCTTTCCGTACTCCTGCCCTTAGGGTTGTCACAGGACCCAGACTTTGGGGAAGTGAATATTATACAGGTGTCACAGGAAGTAAAGGAATTCCTTCCATTGGTGCCCCAAAGCCAGCAACCATAATATCATTTTCAAACTGCACAGTCCTCAGGCCTTGTAGAGGCCACTCTCTCCTGGGCAGAGAAAACACCTGTCACAGAACATCGGGGAGCGGGAGGGTCCTCACACGAGCTGAGCACTCACATGGTGCCAGGACCCTGCTGCATCTTTTATGCATGTAATCCTCTATCATATCGTAGCGGGCTTACAAGAGGCTTTTAAGGGTCTTTAGCCCAATTTTCCCTCTGCGACCTTAGCCAGCCAGCTGTGTCCAGACCTGCACGGGACTCTGGGTAGACGGGTAAGCTTGTCATGCTGTGCCATAGTGGGCGTTCATCAGTTTTTTGCTAGTGCCAAGTTGAGTAAACTTAGCCCTTGCCCTCAGGAAACTCAACTTTCTAGAATTCAGGTAAGAAAAAGTTGCTGTTGCTAACATAAAAAATAATTATCAATAGTCGTTATTGAGACATTTGGTATGTACCAAGCACTTGACTTCCATCATTGCTGATACTCAGAGCCTTTCAGCAAGATGGCTAGGTTTCATCCTCCCCGTGTCACAAGTGCACTTGGGACCTGGGAGTAACCCAGCCAGTGTGGCCAGTTTGAAAGAGAGGCTTCCAGTGCTGCAGTGAGCCGCCCCCACGTTATTGGGTGCACATTTACTGAACTCACGGATCATTTTCCCCAGGTGATTTTCAGCATATCATAATCATATCTTTCAGATTAACTTCTTTAAGAAGGGAGCAGAGATGTTTTCCAAACACATGGACAGCTTTTTATCCTCCGTTGCAGACATGATTCAAAGGTAATGCTGTGCCCTGACCTGAGTCTCAGGGGCCTTGTATTTTCCTGTTGAACTTACATCTCTGGGAGGTGGGGGGAGGGCTCTGATTGCCGGAGCCCCGGAGAGCCCCTGCCCACTCCGGGGACTCTCCTCATGACACTTGCTGAGGTTTGTGAGTATTTGGGCACACAGTTGAAGAGTCTGTGATTTCTGCAGTTCCCGACTGGGGTGGAGCCCAGAGCCCTTCCCATGACACTCAAGGACTGAAATAAAAGATGAAAACATCCTCAGTGGCACTTCTCCAGTAAGCCCCCAGTCCTCAGGGTCTCTTTCCGTTACTATTCCGGTCCCACCTGTTATAACCTGTGAGTCTGGCTCAGGTTTGCTATGGATTTGCGGGAGCTCTTTGCCTTTGTCTTTGTGGGCTGATGGGAGTAGCAGCCAGAAGTGCTGCAGCCATTCAGGAAACTGACCAGCGGATTAACATGTAATAGATAAGCAATGTGTTAACCCTTTATAGAGTTAACTTAACAAACTGTAAATGCTTAGTTTAAAAACAAGTCACTCTTCTCTCTTCTCATGGGAGGCACTTCCCATGCTCACTGGGTGCCATGGCTGGGGCTCCCTAAGCACTTGGCACCATTTCTGGAGTATAGGAACACATCTCTGTGCGTATTTGACAAATACCACATATATGAAATGGAAATAGGGGCTGTCTGCTCTGGCCCCTCCTGTGCTGGAGGTTTTGCTTTCCTCCTATCTATAATAAAATATTTCATTTTCGCTTACAAGAATGGAAATAGGAATACGGAATATTTTATTTCACATGGAAAAGGAAGAAAATGTTGCTCATTTTCTTGAAGACTGTGCATTTCAAAATACCTTGTGAAGGGCAAACAGTGGAATTTATTTAGGCAGAAGTCTACATAAAATGCTCTGAAAATAAAAAATGAATCCCATGAGAAACGATTGCTGAGCATTCAGACTCGAGGGGAGAGGGAAAGTGCATCCTCCCTCCGGAAGGTCACTGAGCTGTTCTGTTCTGGGTAGTTGGCACCGTGAGTGATATAGGCTAGATTCCTAATAATGCTAGAAAGCACTTTGTGAAATCTGATGGTGCTTTCTTGCCTTTTATTGTTTATTAGCCCCTGGGAATGTTAGGAGGAAGTAAAAGATGAGTGCATGTTAAATCGTCACTTCATAGCAGTCCCCTGTCCCCTCTGTCTTTCACTGTTCTCATCCTACCGTAACCCTTAGAATTCTGTGGCTTTTGGTGTTTCTGGGAGAACCATCCCTACTTCTTATTTTCGTGTACTAGGTTATTTTATTACAGGATGGCAGGGCCTCTGTGCCATACCTTTGAGATGCCACAGTGCACTCCTTTGCAGATCCGAGAGCCTGTGTCTTCCCTTCTTGTCAGCAATTTCCTGAACTGCTGCTAGACCCACTGAAGCGTAGCACCAGCCTTCCCGAGAGGACCACAACCCAGCGTTAAAATCCAAGCCCGCGCTGGGGTATGTGGCCTTCTCTGTGCAGACTGGGTGTTACAGAGCACCCCCTGCTGCCTGACAAGTTCTAGGGGTAACAGGCAGCAGATGGAGTTCCCAGAGTGCACTTTTTGGTTCAGACAGCTACGTCATTGTTTCAGAAGGCTTATTTCCCTGTCACTTGCATTTTCTGTTGGTGAGCCGATAAATACGGCCACCCTTCTCCAAATCAGGAGGTGGTTTCACTGCCCCTTTGCCGCACATTCGCAGCCAGCCAGCCCAGGGAGGCCTCGGAATGGGGTCTGGTGCTATGCCATTCTCAAAGTGTGAGAGGATTCGGCACCCAGACAGGACAGCATGGTTTCCAACACACCTGTGGAGCTTTTTGCTGCCTTAGCCCAATAGTGACACCTTCCTATGTTTTTCTTGAATCCTTCTCCTGCTCCTGTATGTGTGTGTGTATATATACAGGAGAACTTCCATAGGCTGACCACCCAAGGGACTGTAACAAACTGGTCAGCATCCAGAGGTGTTCATCATAAGGAGCCAGGCCTGCTGCACTGACACGTGCATGTGGTCATGTCCGGTCTGAAAATCAGGTCAACCTGAGGTGGTCAGTGTAGGGCAGTGGTCACCTATGGATATTCTACTGCATTTTAATGAGGGGAAACATGCCTTTGTTATTTTTAAGGAGAACCAGTTGAAAGCAGGTGCTTCTCCACCCTGTTCCTGGAGTCTTGGTGGCTGCAGCCTGCGCCTGCCTGTGGTGGGGAGCGCAGGCAGGGCGTTACTAAACCCTCTGAGGTCCGATGCAGGATGTCCTTTTGGTGCCCAGGAGCTTTTTTGTGGGGAGAGGATCTTCTCTTCTGTCACATCTCCAAAGCTTCTCACCCACAAAAGCTCCAAGCGGGCTCACTGCCCTCGGCTCCCTTACCCCTTTCTTCCTCTTCATCTGTCCCTCAGCCAGGCCAGGGACAGCAGGTTGAGCTAATGAGGCTTGTTCTCCATCTTTCCTGTCCAGGGTCACCAGGTAGAGTTCCTAGTTATCCCCTTCAAAGTCCGAAAAGCCAAAATTAGCTTAGATTGGCTGCTTGTACTGAGCCGCCTTAGAGAAGAGGGGAGTGTGGATACACACAAGCCGAAAGCATCTTAACTGCAGAAGAGGGAAAATCCTAAGGATGAAGAATTTGCTCAGAGAAACACTCGCCTCACTGGGCCCTCGTTCCTTCTGCTTTTAACATTTGTAGTTCTGTTTTATGTCCTTTAACACAGTGGAGAAGTGGGCATGACCTCTGAAGTCTGCTTCCTCGGATGGATGGGCCCTGTTGGGCAGATTTTGTTTAGGGCTTTATAACCACAACTGTCACCACTGGCTGGCCTCTTGAGGCTTCACTTTGTGGAGAAAGAGGGCAGTTGCTGTTTCAAGCTAAAGCTACGAGGCTTTCTAGGATCTAAGTACCAGCCTGGACCTTTGGGCCACTTACCCTATTGCAGTCAGCACTTGGCCAGCATGCATAGCTGGCCTATGCAGCGTTGGGGCAGGCACATGGTTGTTAAAAAAGGAAAAGCATTGCCCTTGGCTTTTTTGTTACGCCTTAGTACTACTTCCTGGTCACTTTCCTGTCCCCAGTGGTTGTCTCTACCACCCTTGCCTAAGCCAAGACGGGGTGCAGGAATGATGACTATTTCATATTTTCCATCATGGGACTTTGACAGGCAGCCTGCACATACAGCCCCTACAGACGGGCTCACTACATCTTTCCTCCCGTAATTTATAGCCGCAGTGCTAAGCATGGTTACCTCTTCATCAGCAGCAAAACTGTTCAGCTGGGTTCAGACATACTCGGTGCTATTTCTTATTCTGTTTTGTTTTAAAATAGCAGTAACATAAGACTTGAGTAATGCAGAACTGAGTCCCCATGATCTGTAGTTTTAGGGGCCTTGAGTACAAGAGTAGGAGGCTGGCAGCTCCCTCTTGAGGAGGGAAGCCTTGCAGAGTAGGGTGGGGACTGCCAGCAGCTGCTGAGTGCTGGGCTGGCCCGTGCTGAGTGGCTGACCCAGCCCTTTCTGTCTTAAGCATTCAGGTAGAACTGGAAGCCGAAGCAGAGAAGATGCGGGTGTCCCAGCAGGAATTACTTTCTGTTGATGAATCCATTTATACTCCAGACTTTGATGTGGCTACACCACAAATCAACAGGAATCTCATCCAGAAGGCTGGTTACCTTAACCTCAGAAAGTGAGAATGCCCCTTTCTGCCTCTTTCTCTAAAATCTGTTTTCCTTAGGATGTGGCTGAAAAGCACCCCACTCTAAGTGCCCCGCTACAGTGTGAAGGCCCAGGTGGGTAGGCTCAGGGGAGAGTGCCCAGGGCAGCACCCCTCCCCGGAACACAGGAAGCCTCTGGAGCCCAGGTCCCAGACTGCACTGAGGGATGCGGCTAGCACGGGGGTCGTGTAAGGAAGAACCCAGGGGCATGGGCTCCAGGACATGCAGGCCACCATTATCCCTGGTCACCAGGGCCCTTTGTAAACAGACCACTCGTAACTATTGTCATTAACTGGGCCACTGACAGTTTTCCTCTGAGGCTAGAGTTGGGGCCACCAGAGCAGCCGCTGTGGTGGTTTGGTGTGAGTGCCACTGAGTGGCACCAGGCACTGGCTGGGCTGAGCCCCAGTCTCGCCACCTGTCAGTGGAGCTGGTGTCCGAGCCTCCTTCATAAGCTGTCACAGGGACCAAATGAGGCCGTTCCTATCGGGTAGCAAGCACACAAATGTTAGGCCTTGGCACTTTGGGGAAATGACCCTAGCAGGAAACCCAGTGCCTCGAGTCTAGTTCCTACTGAGCTGTTAACCCTTGTGATCTTTCCCAGTGGAGAACACACACAGAGGAACTGCCAGCTGCGTTCTCCCCAGGGTGGGGCTTCTCAGAGGTCTTTGAGCTTGAGATCGCAGCTGAGTCTAGATGTGAGCTCAAGGTTCTGGTGTTATCTGCCAGGAACTAGACTTTCCTTTCAGAAGCAGTGCACAAAACTAGAGCAACCTCCAGAGGGAGCAAAACCTCAGCTGCCACGAGCCCCAGGAGAGGGGGTGCTGTGAGCTCGGGCACTGCTGCTTGGTACATTCAGAGCATGCAGCTCCCCATCTCACACAGCTTCTGGGTTTAAGTTCTTCGTGCTGATGGACTAATTCTGCGTCCAGATAGTGGGTCTAGAAGCCCGTATACAGCTGCAGTGGGAGGGGCGGATCCGCCCACATATCTGGAGGTGGCCTGGGACTGCCATTGCCCTTGGGAGCAGAGCCCATAACGGCCCAGATCATTCAAGCTAACTTGGCCTCTTCTGCTGTTCTTTCAGATGAAGGATTTTCAAAGCAGTTTTGCTTTAATGTAAAGAAACCCATTATTTCTAAAATGCCACCAGTACTCATCAAGAGGCAGCAGGGCTAGGAGGCGCAGCTCATGCTTTCTCCTACTAATTGGCTCTTTATAACCTAATTCATGCAGCAAAACAGGGCTGGTCACCACCACCTGGGAGAGGCTCTACTTCTTCACCCAGGGCGGGAATCTCATGTGTCAGCCCAGGGGAGCCGTGGCTGGAGGCTTGATCCAGGACCTGGACAACTGCTCGGTGATGGCTGTGGACTGTGAAGACCGGCGATACTGCTTCCAGATCACCGCTCCTAATGGGAAATCGTAGGCCTGGGGGCTTCACCTGGGCGGAGAGCAGTGTAGTTCTCCCCTCTACACACTTCCTAGAGCATCCCTAGTGTGTCCCCATGTGCCAGCCCTTCAGAGAGTAGCTCTGTTGAGGGTGTTGCTCACTGTTCAGGATGAGGATTTTATACTCTTCAGAGAAGCCCTGGGGCCCACATGGGATCCGACCTTCCTTATTTCAAAAGTCCCAGAGGTCTGTCTGTGGCTTTGGAGAAGAGATGACACGTGAAAGTGACAGAAGTAGTTTCACATAGGTTCTAAGTGGGGGAAAGGAGGCTGTGGCTCCTCCTAGCCTAGTCCACACAAGCATTTGTGTTTCTATTATGGCAGGGTGGGATACGGTGGGGTAAGGAAGAACTGCCAGAGGAGGCTATTTTTCCAGCTGAATGGGAGCTGCCATGCTGCTCCCACATACCCCATGTGCCTTAGGACCCAGAAGAGGTCATACTTTAAATTTACAGGGGTGTCCAGCCTTTTTTTCTTTTCTGCCACACATTTGAAGAAGAGTTGTCTTGGGCCGCACAGTAAATACACAAACACTAACGAAAGCTGACAAGCAAAAACAAAGGCCCATGCGTGCATTTTGAGATCTCTGACACCACAAACAAGCAACAGAGGCCTCACATCATCTGCATGCAGCCCATCATGGCAGCCTTGGAGTCATTCACAGTAGATCCTGGGCCAGGGGGATCCCTTGTTCTCCAGAGCGGTGGTTTCCAGACTGCCCTAAGGAGTTGTGAACCCCATGGAGGTGCTTTAGGGTCACCTGCCTGTGGGGAGAGGCTGGCCCTATCCCTTAGTGAGAGCTGCTATACTGTTGCTTTCTACATTGGGGTTCTAAGTTAAGATTTTATCTAGACAGCGGGGTGGGGTGGGGGGACAGTGCTGGGATGGTGTGAGTCATCTCTTACCCCAAGTTGGCAGAGCAATTTTAGACCTGATCCTTCCTCCTGATGGGAAATGGCATAGGAACAAAGATTCCTGAGTCTAGACATGAACCCTTAGGTATTTGACCCTCACTTCAGGGATAAGAGCTATGTTACCCACCCACCATGGTTGTTAGGAGCTAGGAACTAGCAGACGTGGAGTCCGTTTAAGGAGTTAAGGGGCTGCCACAAAGACAGGGCAGTGCTGATATCTTGCCCCTGGTACCCCTTAGCCTAGGTCTGGGAAAGCAGTGAACTTGCTGCCAGCCCTTCTTGGGGTGTGGTTGGAGAAGTGGCAGGCTTTGGATCATCCAAGAGGTCAGTAAGATGGTCCTCACTGTAGAATCATAGGCTGGAAGGGGCTAAAAGATCTGAGGCCCAGAGAACGTGTCTGTCCAGGGTAATGTAGTACATTAGCAGCAGAACCAGACCTGGAATCCCATTTTCTTTCCTCCCCATCAAGCTGCCCTCATGGCCCTTTCCTTTGGGAGCCCAGCTGAGTTCAGTTCATGTAGAATAATCCTCAGTCACTGAGATCTAGGAAGTACCTAATTACTTAGATGCATTTTGTTTCAGGGGAATAATCCTCCAGGCAGAGAGCAGAAAGGAGAACGAAGAGGTACAGACTTTGTTTGTCCCGCCTCTTTCCTGGTGTGGTGGGTGACTGTGGGATTCAGTGTTCTTTTTGAATGTTCTCTACAGTGGATCTGCGCAATAAACAACATCTCCAGACAGATCTACCTGACCGACAATCCAGAGGTAATCGTAGCTCCTGCACCCTAGCCCTCTCCTCTGCACGCTGACAGCTGCCTCCCGGGACTGAGCATGCCTTCCTGTGGATTTTTAGGCAGTCGCCATCAAGTTGAATGAGACAGCTCTCCAAGCAGTCACTCCTATTACAAGTTTTGGCAAAAAACAAGAAAACTCGTGCCCCAGGTAACTAAAGGACAAAAGAAAACTAGCTTTTGTGGAGCAATTCATGGATTAGGAATTTGAAAGGAGTTACTGAATCTGCACAAACCACCCAGGCACCCTGTTCAGCCTGTTAGAAGCAGTAACTACGGCCAGGGAAGGTTCACTGTTGTCCTAGGTTCACACCACGTGTGAGGTGGTGTGAACATGTATGTGAGAGGACTCTGCCCTGTCTGCTGTCAGCATCCCCATCTTTCTCGCTGGCCCATACCCCTGCATTCAGAGCCATCAGGACTTGCGTTCAGGGTCCTTCTGGTCAGGAGTTCTCCCCTCATTTTCTATCAGCAACAAACTAATGTAATCAAAACAAATTTTTTGGATTAAGGAACAAAATTGTCTTTTGTGTGTTTTTGCTGCTGCTAGACCTCATCTATATACCTACTGCTATCATCATATATAGATTTTGTACTCAGATTTTCACATATGTATTTTTTACTACTTCTACAGTTTTCATAATTGTTCCATTGAAGAACTAGACACATTCTTTCATCACTGGCTACTGAATGGTTGTCTCCCCTCCTTCGTTTGCTGTTACCATTTAGAGCAAACATTTCCACGCATACAGCTCTTCTTGTTGGGACGACTGCTTTATTTATTCCAGGAGTCCCATCATTTGCGTTAATGGGAATTTCCATTTGAGTAAATAATAGCAGGCTATATTACTTATGATGCTAATGAAAGCCAGGTATTAGAGGGCAAATTAAAATTATGATTATAATTGGCATCGCTCTAAATTTTAGTGGCCTGGTAGAAAGAACCGCATTAAATTTTAACCTGTATTATCTAGAGACCTCAGAAGGAAGTTATTAGAGCTCAGGGTGGTTAAATAATGTCCCAGGGTCTCACTGCTATGCACTGTGGAGCCAGCATTCACGCAGCTGGCACTGGGTACCTGAGAAGGAATGGTAGAAGGCAAGGCCAGGTGACAGGTCTGGGTCTGATTATGAAAGGCTGTGTGCCCACTTAGGCGTTACAGGCAGTAGAGGAGAACTGAGCTTTTCAGAAAACAGGTGACAGTCAGAATCAGGTTTAGAAAGATTGTTCTTGGTGACGCCCATAGTTCAGTGGGTAGGGCACCGGCCACATACACCGAGGCTGGTGGGTTTGAACCTGGCCTAGGCCTGCTAAAATGACAACAACTCCAACAAAAAAGCTAGCTAGGCATCGTGGTGGGCGCCCGTAGTCCCAGCTACTTGGGAGGCTGAGGCAAGAGAATCGCTTAAGCCCAAGAGTTTGAGGTATGATGCCACAGCACTCTACCCAGGGCGACAGTTTGAGACTCTGTCTCCAAAAAAAAAAAAAAAAGGAAAGAAAAAAGATTGTTCTGCAGCTCTCTATAGGATAAATTGGTAGGAGTTGGTGGTGAGAAGCGGCGGGAGAAAGACCCAGCGGGTCTGCTGTGGCAATAGCTGAAGCAGCACGAGAACCTGCAGAAAGTAAGTAAAAATGGGAAAGAGCACGTTGGAGAAACATTTCAGTGTTACGATTTCATGATTGTATAATTCTACAGTGGATAACAAGTCGCATGCTTATTAAATCTAACCCTAAGTTAAACACTGTTGAAAGAAAATGGAAATAAAGATCTAGTGAGTGAGGTTATGTTAGCCTTTTCCTATCTGTCTTCTCTTTTGTAAAGTCACAAAAATGTTTGCTGCACACAGTGCAGAGAACACTAGATTGGGAGTTAGGAGACCTGGATCCTGGGGCTAGCTCTGCCTGTGCATAGCTAGGTGTCCAGGAGCAAGCCAGCCAGGTCTCCAGGCCTTCATCTCCTCCACTTTGTGACAGGAAGAGACCAGGACACCTTCCCAGGGCCCTTCTGGGTCAAACATGCCATCTTTCCAGGGTGCTGTTGTTTGGAGGTCTTAGACTTAGGAGTTATAAGTAGTTTTCTAAAAAGACATAATTTGTAGCCCATATTTTTTAGTATCTCATTTTTTCTCCTGTTCTAGAAAGAATAAGTAAATCACATTCTTAAGAAATGTTTGACGTCAGTGAAGGAAAGTAGCAGAGAAATTGTGTCCTTGGGAACAAGGACATCATGTGTGGCCATCCGTTGTTCTGCAGTTAGTATCTACTGTTCATTTCATCCAGCTACTGAACAAAATATTTGAGTATTCACTGTGCGTCCAGGCCTGGCCTTGGTAATGAAACTTAGACTTACAAGGGAAGACAGACAAAGGGTAAGCAGTACTCAGTGAACTACGGGGTTGACCCTGTGCTGTCAAGGAGAGGAGAGAGAGAGGAGACCTGCACAGACTCAGGCTGCGGAGGTAATAGTCAGAATGCAAAGTGAAAGATGAGAAGTGGCTGGAGCTAGTGCACTCCCTGCTGCTTGCAGCAGAATCCTGGTGAATGCCTGAGGGCATATGCCTGGGTGAGTTGGAGGGGTGCCAGGGAGGATCCACTTTACATTTTCTGAAGTCAGTTCTCCACTCTGGAGAACGCAGAGCTATGTCAGTAAGTATCTGATGAGGAGACTGGCAGCAGTCCAGAAGATGACAGTTTAGACCAGGATTGTGGCAGAGATGAAAAATAGATGAAGTGGCACCTATTTTGGAGGTAAACCTATGAGACTTGTGATGGATGTGCAGCAGGAGGGGGCAGATCAAGGGGTGACCCTTGTGAGGGCTGAGCGCCTGGGCAGATGGTGTTTTTTAAAGACATGAAGAGCGTTCAGTTTTGGACATAGTGAGAAGTGGCATATGAATCACCCCAGGGAGTTGTCAAGCAGTCAACTGATGGTACAAGTCTGGAGCTCAAGAGGATGTCTGGGCTGGGCTTATGAATTGGGAACTTGTCGGTACCACACAGCAGGGAAAGGTCAGCCAGGGAGTGATGGTGCTGTGATAGAACCAGAACGGAGGGAAAGAGCCTGCAAAAGACCCTGAGAAGGAGCATCGGGAAGGGCCGGAGGAAAACCTGTGAAATGTGGGTGTCAACTCAGCACAGAGTTCCTGGCAGGGGAAAGGAAGCGCCAGCAGAAACCAAGAAGAGTTTCAAGGAAAGATCAGTTACAGTAGATGCTTTGAGAAGGCAGCTAAGAGGGTGTCCATTTAGTGGTGACATGTAGACCACAGGTCATCCTTTACATTATGCCACTCCTCTGTTCAGAGTCTTCAGTGGCTTCTGTACTGGAATCGAGAATCAAGAACAGTCCCCACCTGCGGCTTTGTTAATTTTTAAAGAGACAGGGTCTCGCTGTTGCTCAGGCTGGTATTCTGGTCTTGAACTCCTGAGCCCAAGTGACACAGCTGCCTTGGCCTCCCAGAGTGGTACTGAGATCCTCCACAGCTGGCCCTCCCTGATCTTGACTCTGGGGAGCCATCACCTTGGTTTCTCTCCTTGAAGCTGCTACTCTCACTTTTTCCCCAGTGCTTACCACTTCCTCACTTAGAGCCTCTCAGATCAGACAGCAGATGTGAGTCCACCACTTGGGACTACTGAGGCTGTGACATCCTGAGGAAACTTCTCTTTTTAATCTGGCTTCACCTGACTGAATGCCTTCAGAATTGCCCTGTTCCTCCAGAGGCCTCAGTTTACTTTTAACAACGGAGGTGAAACTAATGGCCCCCAAGGGCTCAGCGTGGGGATGGTATCTGCAGGCCTAGGAAGAGTCAGTGCCAGTCTAATACATATTCATTCAGCAGTTTTGAGTGCCTACTATGCTCCAAGTAATAAATAGCTATAGCCTTGACCCTCAAAAACCTCTCTCAGAGTGGAAAAGATACAAACAGAAGATTAGTAGATGCCATAACAAGTAGTCTAACACACAGTGCAGAATGCTGTGCAGCAAAGAGGTCTGTAGTGGGGTGATGTGAAGTTTTAGCCAAAGAGATGAATGAAATTTTAGGAAAATTTATTAGTAAAATAAATTGAGGAACTGATTAAAACCTCCCTTTTTTATTTGTAAAAGTCACATCAGCTTTCAAAAGTATTCACTTGATTATAAAAGCACAAGGTTAAAAAAGAATTTGATATTTCCCCATCCTGTTTTATACTCTAGCCAGAACCTGGAAAATTCCGAGGTGGAAAATGACCAGACTGTCCCCAAAGCCACAGCAAGTGTACCTGAAGCAGAACAACTGATCGCACCTGGAACACCTATTCAGTTTGACATCGTACTTCCTGCCACAGAATTCCTCGATCAGAACCGAGGGAGCAGGTATGGGCTCAGGGAGGTTACCTCTGGCAGAAGTGAAAATAAATTGGCCATCTTTTTGTGTTCCCACCTCCCACCAAAGACTACTGCCAGGCTGACTTTTAGCTGAAACTGTCATGACTAACTCTGGCTGTTCTCCTAGGCGTATCAACCCTTTTGGTGAAACTGAGGATGATTCCTTTCCAGAAGCGGAAGGTAAGTAGCCAGCTTGGTGTGCTCAAGGGGCATTAAAATATGTTGTGAAATCATGTTCTAGAGAGCTATCTATGATTTGGAGTATGAGCTGATGATGTATTATTCTCTGAAAATTCAGTAGGTCTCTGAAAATTTAGTAGGACACAGGCACGGGGCCAGGTCTTAGATAAAAATGAGGGGTGGTTTTCTTACAGCTTAAGGAAAGGTGGTTTGCGTACAGCTCTTTCACCATTACCTATACTTCAGCCCTTTTTGTAGCTCCTGCATAAACATGTTGCCACATCTAAATCTGGTATCACATTATTATTTTATATTTATAGAGATGTGATCAAACTATGTTGCCTAGGCTGGTCTAAGAATTCCCAGCTCATCTTCCCAAAGTGCTGAAATTACGTTTGGCCATGACATTTGTATAAAACACATTCAAAGATCATCAAATGGCCACATTACAGTGGCTATCTTGGTGAATCTGAATAATATGTATTTCATTTTAGAAAACCAAAGCACAAGTAATGCTTTTTGAAATTTGAAGATGTTATAAATGACATTTAGCTTGTTCAATGTTTTCTTGTTGATGTATATTCTTACTGTGTACTTAAGAACACACCCAATGGAACTGACCATAATCTACTACCCACCCAACTGAGCACACTTTGAGTCCCAGCCAAGGCATTTTACTAACCTTACAGGGTCATTTCTGGAGCTTGAGTATATTATCAAAATGAAATTCTATTTATTCAAATTTAAAAGTAGGCATTTTTTAAAATTGGGAATTCTTTATAGTTTTGGGGGAAAAAAATTTTTATGTTAATACAGGTTGTGCCTCACATCTGGCTCTCTCCACTTGTATCTAGCTGACCTTTCACACAGTCCACACAAACACCAAACTGTGGTCATATGGGGGTAGCCATTCATAACATCAGGTCTATGTTCCTAGTAGAATTTTTAATGCTTACTTTGGGGGGGATGGGAGTAAAAAGGGAAGCTTCTTAGTTTAAAATAAATGGGGAACTATTGTATTTGGGGAGTGATAATTATCTTTTAGATGTTCTTCATGATCTTCCAGTTATGGTTGCTGTTAGTTTTTTCAGATATGTGCTATTACCAACAAGCCAGTACTGCTCTCCACTGGTTTATGAAATACAGCACTGCCTTTTAGTAGTAAATATCATGTATGAATTTAATGAAACCCAACATCAGGTCTTATTTCCTGCAAATGATTTTTTTTTTAAAATAAGAGGACTTTATCAGTGAGCCAAAGTAATGAATTTTCTATTAGCTTAGTGAAGACATTCTTATTTTCACAGAAAAAAATGTATATACTGTCACCAAGAGTACCCTCTATGCTCCTAAGAGTGTAAATGCTAGAAGGATGTTCATCTGGTACAACTGTCTAATTTTATAGATGAAGAAAAAGAGGAGACTCTCTAGTCTAATGAAGTAGTTCCAAACAAACTGACAAAATGTAGGCACAAAATGTGGACAATAGAAGATTTCAGAGCTTTGGCAGTGCTGGTTCATAAAAGCAGTACGGAGAAGTTTTGGCTGAAAGTCCTGCAAAGAAGGGAGCCAAAACCTGGTGCAGCTGACTCTCAGACCAGTGTGTCTGACATGGTACGTGGACCAGCAGCAGGCAGGAGGCACACATGATGCTGAGCAGAACTCACTCTCTTGCAGATTCTCTTTTGCAACAGATGTTTTTAGTTCGGTTTTTGGGATCAATGGCTGTTAAAACAGACAGCACTACGGAAGTGATTTATGAAGCAATGAGACAAGTACTGGCTGCTCGGGCTATTCATAACATCTTCCGGATGACGGAGTCCCACCTAGTGGTCACCAGTCAAACCCTGAGGTACCTTCAGTTTATTTTCAGACCACCTTGAGGTGTCATCTGATTTTCCCTTGAACCAGGCTCCCCAGCCTGGAATGCTGGCGCATTTGTTTGACTGGATTAAGGGAAGGTGCTGCTGAGGTCTGTTCTGCCCTTACCTCATTTTTGTATTTTGATTTTATATGATAAATAGGGCAGAAGTTGTTCCCTTTAAAGACAAGAACTGGTATCATTAAAAATTCAGTGGTATTATTGTTTATAAAGATCCCACCAGTCTTGACTTACTGTGTGTTATATCTTAAGCTTGAAACGGAAGGCTTTTGGTTTCTTTCATTTCCAAGAGTGCTATTTATCTAATAAAAATAAACCATGAAAAAAACATGAATCTGCCTGAGTAACTGGACTGTCACAAGGAAAATATGATTAGCTTATTTGTTGGAGGGTCAAAGTACAGAGGCCATTGTTAACTACGTGATTTGGGGGTCTCAGGTATATGTAGGACCTACGTGACCATGAAGCCAAGGTTATGAGCACAGGCTTTGTGAAAAGCTGCACTGCCCAATAGCATAGCCACAGGTAGCATGTGCAGCCTTGCTAGTCTGAATTAAGATGTGTTGTCAGTTAAATGGTTTGACTGCTATGGAAAACAGTTTGGCAGTTTCTCAAAATGGTAAACATAGAATTACTACAAAATTTAACTCCTGAAGAGATACCCAAAAGAATAAAAACACAGGAGTTGAAACAAAAAACTTGCATATACACAAATGTTCATAGCAGTCCTTTTTGTAATAGCCAAAAGGCAGAAACAATCCAAAGTACATCAGCAAATGAATACAGAGAAACAAAATGTGAAATCTGAAATTTGAAATAGTTCTGGTCCCAAGCATAATCTGAAATTTGAAATAGTTCTGGTCCCAAGCATTTTGAATACAGGATACTTGACCTGTATTACATATAATAAAATATTACTCAGCCTTAAAAAGGAATGGAGTACTGATACACACTCCAGCATGGCTGCGAGTCAGAAACACTGTGCTAAGTAAAGGCCACCAGTCACAACAAGCCATGTTGTATGGTTCCATTTATGTGGAGCATGCAGGGTAGGAAACCCATGGAGACCAGAAGGCAGGCTAGAGGTTGCCAGAGGGTGGGAGGAACAGGGAGAGTGACGGCTTACTGGGGATGGAGTTGACTTTTGGGGTTGATGAAAATGTCTTATAACTAGATAGTGATAATGGTGCACAAAATGGTAAACACACTTAAATGTCGTATGTGCTTTACCACAGTGACCACAGTGAAAAGATACTCTCTTGTAGTGGAATAGGTTCTGAGACTATTCACAGGTCACACAGAAAACCAGACGATCTTAAGAGGCAAATCCAGGTTAACTGATTTAAGTAGCAAAATTTTGAAAGTCAGCTACAAGAAATTTTACAAAATACCTAAGGAAAGTTATTTCAACTTGAGCAAAACTGTTTATTACACATATTCAAAAAATTAAGTCCATACCTATTAATAGACATCAAGTAACATTTATTAAGCTTTGTCTACTTGAAGTTTTACACCCATTTCTCACTGTCATAACTGCCTCTGGGAAGCAGGAGGATGAAGCAGCGAGAGAAGTCCAGGTGACGTAAGGGGGAGCCAGGTTAAATCTCAGTCTTGAGCCTTTGATTATAAATCCTGTGCTTTACTAAGTACAACTGCTTATCTTTCAAATTGTAACCTTTTTTGGGGAAGCTACCTTATTGATGAGATTCAATTCATGTATCATATAGTTACAACTGTACAACTCAGCCCTCCAAGGCTGCACTTGGGGCAAAGTTAAAAAAATAAATGGGGCAGCGCCTGTGGCTCAAAGGGGTAGGGCGCTGGCCCCATATGCCAGAGGTGGTGGGTTCAAACCCAGCCCCGGCCAAAAACTGCAAAAAAATAAAATGTACAACTCAGTGATGCAGCCATCAACACAATTCTAAAACATTTTCATCACCTCAAAAAGAATACTCGGCTGGGCGCCTGTGGCTCAAGCAGCTAAGGCGCCAGCCACATACACCTAAGGTGGCGGGTTCATATCCCCAGCCTGGGCCCGCCAAACAACAATGATGGCTGCAACCAAAAAAAAACGGCCGGGCGTTGTGGTGGGCACCTGTTGTCCCAGCTACTTGGGAGGCTGAGGCAGGAGACTCGCTTGAGCCCAGGAGTTGGAGGTTGCTGTGAGCTGTGATGCCACGGCACTCTACCTAGGGGGATAGCTTAAGGCTCCGTCTAAAAAAAAAAAGAATACTCACACCCATTAGTAGTCAGTCTTTTTCCCTCCCCAAAACCCACCCAGCCCTGGGCAGCTGCTAACCACTAATCTTGCCATCTCTGTAGATTTGCTATTCTAGACATTTCTTATAAATGGTATTATAACCATTTCTTAAACAGAATACGTTGTTGCTTTCACCTATAAAATTTATAGTAATTCAAATATGTAATAACCATGTTTATTCTGAAACAAATAGAATACAGTAAACATTTTTATCTATTTATCTAAGACAGCAATAAATTCTCTAACACATTTTGTTTTCCAAGACACATAACTGATGATAGGTGATGTTTAAATGCTGTTAAGGAATATATTCTGGAATAGCTCTTAAATTACTTCTCTTATACCCAAACTGATACAGACTAGTTTTGTCAAATCCCTTCACTATCTCTCATCTCTACTCCATATTTTTCTTTTTAAAAATGTCTAGAATAAGTTGATCTAGGACTTCTGGGGAATTAAAATAGGCAATGACTATTGAGGAGGCTGTACAGAGTATGATCAACTGTATTCTGCAGCAGAACTACTGAGAGGAGTTATGTGGCCCTGATGATAAGCACCAAATACTGTGAAATTAATTTTAGTTACTGTATGAGCTTCCATTACAGATCCCTGAACCTCACCTACACAGGGTCAACAAAGGCAGAGGCCACAGCACATGGTCATGTGCAATTATCTCACCCAACCCTCACACAGGCCTTATTTTTTCTATTTGTGATGTGTGTGTGATTTTAGTCTACAAACTTCTCTAAGAATTCCAACATATGTTACATAATGAATCTCTTCAATTTCAGATTGATAGATCCTCAGACCCAAGTTTCAAGAGCCAGTGTAAGTACCTCAACAGGTTAATGTTAGTGATTCCTTAATATCTCCCTTACACACGGACACTCTTATTATAAAGATTTGCCAAATGACTGTCACTAATACTTTTTCTCATGACTTTTGCATGAAGAATAATTTTGTCAGTTGTCGAAATTAATTGTCAATAATTTTGTCATACAATTCTAGTTATTGTACGATCTAGTCCCTTTTTTCCCTCTTCTTTCAGTTCGAACTTACAAGCATCACACAATTTGCTGCTCATCAAGAAAACAAGAGGCTGGTTGGATTTGTCACCCGTGTTCCTGAATCCACAGGAGAAGAGTCTCTGAGCACATACATTTTTGAAAGCAACTCAGAAGGCGAAAAGGTCTTGTTTTTTTTCATATTAAGATCCCACAGTAGGATGTCCATTTTTAAAGAGTTTTTTTGGCACTGTCCCCCTGGATATTCAGTTGAACATTCTGCCTATCCCTGTCCATTATCTCTATCCAGGAATTCAGATGATGCCTCTAGGAAAGAAAACTAACAGAACTAAGATTTCCCCATGGAAAAATATGTATCAACCAGAATAGAATGAATGAGAAGTATTTTATTGGCAAGCCGTAATTGTTTAGACAGACCAGGAACTGAAAGCATTTCCCCCCAAATCTGTTCTTTAAAAAAAAAAATTAAAGTGAAAGTTACAAAGGAGAATTACTAGTCTCAAAGAGCAAACCAAGGAAGACAATATGAGAAAACTGCAACTAAGCTGGGTTTTGTTTAATACATCTTTGTGACTACATCTCCTACTTAGAATTCATGAAAATTTACCCTTCTTTCAATAAGTATCTGCTACTGTGTATATAAACATGCAGTGGCTAAATACAGTTAAGGGGGAAAATATCTTACTAAGAATTTTAAACACTGGCATAACTTAGGTTTTCACTTACCTGGGATATTTTTTGTATGGCCTAAGTTGGCAACAGGTCAGGACAGTTGATGCGAATGCTATAAGGCCCATGGAATAAGTCTTTTGTGGCCAGGTCCTGTGCACCCGTGTGGGTATGGGCAGCAGCCTCCCTGCACTACCGTCATTTCTGTAAGATGTTTATCCATTTCTACCTTCGCCAAACACTGCCTTTCTTGTCTTTCACAGATATGTTATGCTATTAATTTGGGAAAAGAAATTATTGAGGTTCAAAAGGTAAGGAACATTCTAGTGCTGGTTTAACAGCCACTCAGAAGACATCTATATATATGCTAAGATTTCTCTTAAACAGAAGAGTGATGCTCACTGGGAAGTATGGCCAAGTTTGGGGTTTCCGCTTAAGCATGCTAATCCCAAGAGGTTTTTTTATCATGTTGTTCCACGTTCACTGGTAACACAAGGGGACTTTTTAACATCACTACTGCAGCTCTTCTCTTGCCTTATCATTTTCTTGCTTGTGCACTAGTTGGCTAGGGTTCCTTTCTTAATAAGATGGCAAAAACTTAAGTATGCACCAGGTACTCTAAGCCCTTCTCCCCAGAATATGAGGATAGGCCCAGCCGCACTGATGGACATCACGTGGGAGCTTATTAGAAGCAAAGACTCTGAGACCTTCTCGTTTTTTAGCAGCTTATAATCCATCAGTACAATTTTGAGAGCCTAGTTTGTATAAGAAAAACTCTGAAATTATGGTAGTGAACAAGATAGGTAACAGTTGCTGCTCCAAGGGGACTTCTAGTTCAGCACTGTCTAGTAAAACTTTGTCTAATAATGGAAGTGATCTCTACTGGGGCCATTTAACGTACAGATGAAGCTGATAAGGCAGAGGAACTGGATTTTTAAATTTAATTTTAATTTAAATAGTAATATAGCTAATGGCTACCATATTTGCACAGTTCAGTCTGTTGAGGTCAGGAAGACCAAGGACTGAGACCAAAATATATGAAATAATGGTAAGCACTGCACATTGGCATTTAATGGTATATGTAGACTTTTTCTATAAAGGGCCTTTACCTTTTAGGCTCAGATATCTGTTAGCTACTCAAACTCTGCTGTTATAAAGCAGCCGTGGGAAGTATGTGAATGATGGGCACAGCTGTGTTCCAACAAAACTTATAAAAACAAGTGGTGCACCAAATGGCTATTAGTTTTCCAATTCCTAGTATACATTAAAAGATGGAAAAAGAATGGGATTTAAAGATACAAGACAAGTTTGGCAAGAAAGTTCCTGTCGGGGCTGTTGGGGAAGATGATTATGATGAATTGGATACGTAGATGGTATTTTGGCTGAAACAACTCAGTCCAGATTCTAGAAGCAATGTGCCTGAGTTTTTTCAGAGAAGCAGAGATCCAACTTAAAGGCACACATGGGCAAGAGTCAGAACATATTTTGAAAGCTAAGCCAAAGAGGTTTAAGTGCATCTTAAGCTTTTTCTTTTTTCCTCTTCAACTCTCATAACTTCAGGATCCAGAAGCATTGGCTCAGTTAATGCTGTCCATACCACTAACCAGTGATGGAAAATATGTACTGTTAAACGATGAACCAGAGGACAATGATGGAAATCCCAGTGAAAACAGAGGCGCAGAATCTGAAGCATAACTCACTTGCGCCTGTGAGGGAAGAGGACACAGGAAGGGGAGCTACCTCCTAAGGGTTTTCAACTTCTCTGACATACAGGGACACTGACACAGAATGCTGACAATCGTTTGTGGAATGTACTTTTGAAGTCCTGATACTGAGACTTGGGAGGGAAACAAGTGAGGAATGGTTGACAACATTACTACCCATCTCCAAATGTTATTTTAGGTGCTTTGTGGTAAGTCCTTTTCTTAGATCGCATTGTTCAGCACTCAGAAAGGTATGGAAAATGCATTGTTCACTTTATTTGAATGTCATCTCTTTTCTTCCAGTATCCTTTTTTAAAAATGGCAACAGCCTAGATTTTCACTTTGATAAACACTAAATATTTCCTATTAATATAATCTATTTTTATATTTCCCTTAATGAGCTTTAAGTGCCTGTCATTCTGAAAAGTATTTATAATCCAGCTCATGATTAGGTCTCATAATTGGACCTAACAGCATCATTTTGTGCAGTTAGGTGACAAGCACTACTTTGAAGCCCGAGCACTAGTACAGATGCAGGTCTAGTTTTGGTAACTGTTCCAGGTGCCATGCAATAAAAAGCTGATAAATACCACAAAAGATGGTTTACAGTGGCGCCTTACTGGCCCAGCATTCTGAAGCTTAGGGTCCTCCTAGATATGAGGAGTTTTAGAGGTGGGACAGGGTGCAGCTCTACCAGTTCCTATTTCTTCTGCTGAGCCAGAACCTCCTCAAAGAAGGGACCAGTTAATTTTAAAACTCACTTGAAGCACAACTGGTTATAGGGCTTGGGATGAAGTTCCTATTTCTACCCTGACACTGTTGGTTTCTAGCACCCCAGCCCACTCTTCCATCCCTCTTACCTAATAAAGATCTTGAATTGGTACAGTATGTTTAAATGTAACCAAGCTCAACAGACTCATTATCTTTTTAATAAATTAACCTAGTAATAAAAATTATTATGTTTCTTTTGCCTGTTGTGGTTATTTCCTAGAACATCCCTGGAAGAAAACTAAAGTCAGTTCTATAGTGTTAGCAGTTTAATAAAAATCCTAGAGCATGGTAACATCTCAGAAGAGGGGCTATACTAATAAAAGATACCTCTATTCCATGATGTGATCCCATTGCCAAAATTTTTTAAGTGTTTCTTTTAAAAATTAAGTAGATTAATAAAACAACTTTTGCAACCCAAAATTAGGTTAATGTCACATTAATAAAACAACTTTTGCAACCCAAAATTAGGTTAATGTCACAGGGTCCATTTGAAAAATCCACTCCTATAGTTTTTATACCATCAGAGACACAGCAGCTGTCTAACCCTGTATGAGATTAGACACCATGACATTATTAGTTTTGGTATTCACTAATGCCTTACAACTGAAACACTGTTAAGGGACAATGCGGCAGACACAAAGCATGCAAATCATGAGGAAAAGAGACAAAAATTCAGTATATTCAAACTTTACCAAAAACACCACAGAGAATGAAAACACAAAGTACCAGCAAGCATGTGAGATGAGTAGTGTCTAGAATATATAAAATATTCCTACAAATAAAAAAATTAAACATAAACAGTCATAAAGGCATTTAGCAGATTACAAAATGCAAAAAGCTTATGAACAAGTATGTCTCATACAGTAATCAGGAAAATGCAAATTAAAACCACAAATATTTTATATTTGCCAGACTGCAAAAATTCAGCTATGGGAAAGAATGGAGCAATGGGGAATCTCTTCCACTGCGGGGATGACAGAATAATCTGGCCTTTTATTTAGAAAACTTGAAAGTGAAGCTGCCCTATCACCTAGCAGTTCACCTGTGGGTACACACCCTAGAGCAGTGGTTCTCAACCTTCCTAATGCCACAGCCCTTTACTACAGTTCCTGTGGGTTGAGACCCACAGGTTGAGAACAATTGCCCTAGAGAAACCCAAACTTACATACCCAGGGATGCATACAGTAACAAATCAGCAGTATTGTTCAGAGTATCCCAAATGTGAAGATAAGCAAAATGTTATCAATAGAATATGTAAAATAGCTGTATTCACAGAATAGGACACTACAGAAGTAAAAATAAACTACAGCTGTATCAACATGGATGAATTTAAATAAATACCGAGTTAACGTCATAGAAGAACACAATAAAATCCCATGTATCTTAAATTTAAAAACATTGAAAACACAACCTTTTCATTTAGGAAAATATAGATGGGCTGTAAAACTAGAGCAGAGCAAGGGGATGGTTGCCAGCAAAGCCCCAAGTGCTTTCCTCTTGGGGAGAAACTACAGGAGCTTCTAAGGTGGGAGGAGCAGGCTCATTCCTAACTGATGTGGTAGCTTCCCAGTTCTTTACTGTCATTGTTTAAATAGTACATACATATTATAAACTCTTGCATGCATTGTTACTTTTAAATTTTTGTTTTAGAAATAATCGGTGACACGTGAAATGTATATTAAAGTACTCTGAAAATTAACAAGTGCCATGCAAATGACAATGAGGGTAGGAAACGGGACCTTTTTAGAAGCCAGCCAACTTCACCAATTCCCACTTCCCAGTGTTCCTTTAGCCACCACGTACCTGTCAGATTACCTTTTTCAGAGAAGAGCAGGGCCTTCTTACCTCAGCCACTTAACAAGGGTAGTTGTTAAGAGACCCACTCAAAATACTTTATTTTCAAACTTTCCACCTAAGAGAGTAACAACAGTAACAATAATATACACCAAGTATATTTCTACCTATGAAAGTAGAATAATAAGCTATATAATAGCTACTTTATATAGCAGTTATATGAGCTCAGAAAATTAAGTTCTATAACTCATCCTAGAGGAAGAGCTACATAACTCACTGATGTGGTCACTGATGTACTCGCATGTTTTCTAGGTTGAGTTTGTGAACTTAATTGTCACACCTTGTATTACAACAGCTGATTGCTATGCTAGAGAAAGAGTTCCAACATTGCTTGGAATGGTGGACTAGGTGCTGGCGTTGGTGCATAAAGTGACCATAATCTGCTTTAAAAAAGCAAATCAGAATTTAAGTTAGTCTGGATCTAAATCAGTCTGGTCTAGACACTATGTGCTATATACACGAACTCAAAAGAATACCAGAGACAAAGCAACCTCCAAATGTTTCTCAATACGTTAAGCTTTGAAGACTTAAAGTTGATATTCAGTAGTAATACCAACTTAAAGTGTATCCTTAATGCCTTAACTTTTGTGCATATCCTGAAAAGATTAAATACTTTAATATTAATTTGATATATATAGATGCATCTGGGTATAAAAATTTTAATTCTCTCCCCTTTAATTAAAAGGAGAAAATTACAGAAGAACACTTCACTACACACAGATCTTACATTTATTATAGAATGTGTTTATAGTCCCTAAAGATCCCAGAATTACGGCATCAGATCTGCATGGACTATAAGCTAAATCTCCGGTACATTCCTGAGATGGGAACTAGAGGTAGCAGGTTAACTAGGTGGTACAGAGCCAGACTACTGAAACAGAGGAAAACACTGATTTACTTACCAACTTTTCTTCCTATGCACTACATATGGGGCTTACTTGTATGTAAACTGCAAACTTCACCACCACCATCTGAGTTCACTGCGTAGTCCTAAAACTACTTAATCTCTACTTACCAAGTCTTCCAGATTCCATTTTTAATATTTCTAATTCTTGACAACCTATTAAATTATTCCTAACATCTAAAAGTCTCTGTTTTAAAAATCTGTAGCATTAAAACTTCTCTAAGAAAAGGAATACTATAAGTCTGAAATGTTTGCAATGTCAAACAAAATTATGTTAAAATCATTAAAATCCATTAATGCCTGCCTACCCTTTACATTTAGCAAATCTAGCATGAAAGAGTAAGATGATTTATGCCAATATTTCATCTTTTCCAGAATCTTGAAAATTTACTATCTCAGGAAAAAAAGGAAAAGCAGTGCAGTTGCTAGCATCACTACTCTTGATCTCTGGGGCCAATATTAAGTAAAATAAAGGTGACTTGAACATAAGCAATCTGAGAACTCAGCTACTAAGTGACTGATGGGCAGGTGGCCTATACTGCAAGAATACAGGGGATGGCGCAGGATGACTCAAAATTTCATTATGTTACCCCATATGGCATGTAATACAAAACTTTAGAATTATGTACAGGATTTCCCATTTAATATTTGCAGGTCACAGCTGACTGCAGGTAAGTAAAACTGTAGAAAGTGAAACTAGATGAGGGGGGACTATTGTATTATTTCTGCTGTACTCAAGTTTGTAAATAGCACTTTATAGAGGGTGCCAAAAAATGTATCACATTTTAGAAAAGGAAAAAGTATTAAATTTGTAACACTGAAGTCATGTTTGACTTCTGCAATTACAAGAGGCGCTCAGTGTGACCTGTATTTACCTTTTGTTATCAATATGTATTTACAATTTTAATATGGTTATACTGTTTCTTAAAATGTGGGTAAAGCACCCTCTGTAGTTATTTCTAATATTGTAAACACTGCATACCAATGAGCCTCTTCCAGGATTATGACTTAAAATCACTTCATGCCAAATCTTTTTAGTTGAAAACAGCAAGCTATGGAACAAGAAGATATAAAGATAACATCTTTCTTTCACCTGGGATACACAGAGGAGCCAATCTCAATTTTATCCTTGAAATATTTTGCCTACACATAGTCAAGCATTTTTTAAGAAGAGATTTCATACATTTTGTTCAATTAAAGGGGACTCCAAAAAGTAATGTTAAAACATTCAATTTAAAACATAAACATCCAAGGGAAGGAAAATTTTGAAATTATATTTATTAATGTTTTATTACACATATTGTATTCTCTCCGAACTGGGGGGAGGGGAAAGCCCCACTCAGGTGAGGTAACAAACTTGCCATCTTTTACAAAATTTCATTAGAACTGACAATGTTATGGTTAGTCCTTAATTCCTGAGAATTTGAACATCATTAAGTTTTCTGTGAACTTAACAACAAATGTTTACAATTTTTAAATATGTTTGAAAAAAATAAAAATATCAACATTAATATGTTAGCAAGGAAAACCATCATCCAAATGTATGTCTGAACTTAGGAATATACTGAAGCCCTGTTGCTCTGCAGTTTAATGCCATTTAAGTACCTAATCATTTCTAAGATCTGATTTCAAAAATATGAATTTATAACTTATCCAGACTGCAGTGATATTATTTTGAACTAACGGCAAAATAATCATCCATCACTCTCTTCTCAATTCTAGATATCCAGGGAGTCAGCATGTGATTATCTAGTACTGATAAATAATTTACATATGTGGGGACAATGAACAGAAACATTCGATTCTCTTTTAATCACAATTTCTACCCCTATTAAAGCAGATTTCAGGGAAGTTAGAAAAACAGAGAAAACAATGCTGTTGCTATGAAATAGTGACTAATTTGATATAATCAAATGCAAGATCATTAATATAAACATTTACAATAATGAAAATATAAATTATTAATTATGCAGCATGCTTTAGGGCCATTTCTACAGTTAGTATGAATTACAAATATTAATTGCCTTTAATCCATTCATTGTCCCTAAGTCTGTAAGCCATGTTTACATAATAAACAAAAAACATTTCCTACATATTCTGCTTCTTCTGACTTTTAACAGTGAAAGTTTATCACAGGCTGGGAAAGTTACCCTGACTCTAACCAACAAGGAGAGACAGGGGATTCTATACCCATTCCAAAAGCAGAATGGAAGAACGATGTTAGAATTACTAGTAGGATTTATCCAAAGAACAATTTAGTAGGCAAGTGCAATAGAAAAATCAAGCATTTCCCAAAATGATGTTTGTATTAGAGTTCAAGTTTTAAACTCTTGTATTCATTGTAAAGGTATCATTTTATTATATTTTTTGAAAGACTATTTAATAACCAACATACCTTTACAAAAATAAAGCTAACGGCTTGCTAGGAGCTAACTT